AGGAGCTTTGGGTGGAGGATTGAAGCATAACAATAATTTAAAAGAAATAATTCTGTAACCAATGAACATCCCAAAACAGTTCCTGTGAATGAAAAATAACTTTTTATATTATAAGACAGGGCTTCAGGGTGCACTTACTGCTAGGGGATTGCCGATGAGTACAAGATTTCTGAGTTTTGGTAGGGTCTGAAGCTTGTAGACTACTTCTTTAAAATCACACAGGTTGTTGAAGCTCAGATCCAAGGAGAGTAAGTGAGGCCTGTGAAAGTAAGTTTCACAGAAAGATTATGTACATTAGAAATTCCCTTTGCCACAGCATTTGTTATTGCTGCTGCTGCTACTGCTGTTGTTGCTGCTGCTGCTGTTGTTGTTTTTGTTACAGTGAAGGCTCATTAAAACAAACTCTTAGTAGCCAGAAAAATTACACCTCTTAATTGAAACTTTTTTATATCAGTGGCAGAAACAATAGAATACGAAGGGACCGGCAAAAATGACCTTGATACATGTATCTCTTTGAAGAATATTTGAGGCTCATATTTTGAATACAGTATAGCAAAATGGAACCCCTTACATCAAAAGAAAAAATATATTTTTGTTGATTGGTACACTCTAAAGACCCTAGCTGTCAGAAGTGAAAAACGAACTAGAAAATCACATATCCACAGAATTATTATAAGCCATAGTACAATATTACGATAATTTTATTTGATAATATCAAATCTTATAAGTATTAGATCACAAATAATATCAAATATATGCTATTTTGTGTCTGTTAGAGAACTTGAAATCTATAGCTTTGAAAATTGGAATGTTGACCTAAAAACTAGCTATCGACTTGATCACATCATTTTATGTGGAGTATGCATATTCACAATAATTTTGCATTAATAAAGCATGGCTCATAGCATCAACTATATACCGGTAGGCGAGCTGATCTGGTCTACATCTTATGTCATCACCATAACTGCAGCAAATTTGACCCCTGTTAATCCGTAATTTAAAGGGGTGCAGAAAATGAGTTCTTAATTTGCTTTTGTGCAATACTAAAAGGGGAAATATTTCATAGTTACTCCTTTACATTTGTATTCATATTCATTCAGCTTTTCATTGATATAAAGTTGTATTCTCATTGGATAGGGTCTTTAAAGGTATAAACCAGTTTTGGAAATACCCCCCTCTCAAAAAATGAAATGGAAGCTCTTTTAACTAATCATGTTAAAGAATATGTTTTGACTAATACGTGATGATACAAATTTTGCCAGGAAACCGCCAATTAATTGATATATTTGGTAAATTATCACATCGATCCGGCCTGGATAGATATCGCGAATGCACTTCAACATTGAACATTTGGGCAAATATTTCTGCTTTTTGGCAAGTTAAGGTTGAAGTATTGCCATCTAAACCTCTGAGGGAAATATTTAAACAATATTGAATGGATATTTTGCATCCAGAACCCTTGAACCGCAATTTTACCACTACCCGTCTATATCTTTAAACATACTGCTTACCAATAAGGCCCTGTTAGGTAGTCATGGACAGCCGATATTCTGTTGACACCTAGACCCAAATGAATGAGACCTGGGGGCGGGGCATAGCAGAGTGGTTCCAGATCACTAATCTCATTAGCTACTAGTTCTAAAACCTGCATATTGGTATAAAAGAAATAACAAAATCAGGAGCATGTCACCTCATCTATGTTAAGAAATGAAATTCATATTCACACTATTTGATCCTGGATAATATCGTTAAGAATGACAGTGAATATTTCCTACTTTTTTTGTTATGCTTCCTCTTTGTACATGGAAATACTTTCAATCAGAGAAGGATTCACAGTTCTATAAGAATATATATATATATATATATATATATATATATATACATATATTTGCCAAAAGTGTTCTTCTAAAAAAACATAATATATATTTTATTTGAATATATATGTCACAATCAAGGATAACAAGGGCGGCTAGATCGTATAATGAACGAATGAAAACATGCCTCATTTTTGTTATACAACGAAACTCCTAGATCCTTGTTAATTGATGTAAAAAGATTTCATTCAAGATTGTCTAGTGACAGTATGGCTGACAAGCTGAATAATAATGTGGCAAATCAATTTATTGATTTTGAAACATTTATGAAAATGAAATTTGAACTAAAAAAAATCAGTTAGAGTAAAAGAGACATCGTCCTACCAACATAAACTAAACTTTTTTCCCCCATTTTCTAGATATTGATTTTAAAAAAATGAAATGAAATGAGTACTCAATGGAGATGCCTAGAAAAAAAGGGCGAGAAGGTTAAAAGTTGAACTGACCTTTATTGTGATTGGAAGATTCCTGGAGTCTACACTTTGTAATGAGTTAGCACTGAGGGTGAGTTCGGTCAGCTTGGGAAACTGAAGCATTCCACTGTCAACGTTACATACCTGCACATACATACAAGATTAGAGAAGAAAAATGAAAATATAAATAATAAAATGATCAAAAAAATAAACGAATAAATAAATAAATAAATGAATGAATAAATGAATAAATGAATAAATGGATAAATAAATAAATAAACATATAAATTAAACATAAATAGATAAATATATACCTAATACATTAATAAATATATACCCGTAACTAAAAAAAAAAAAAAAAAATAGAAGTAATAACAATATCAACTGTAATTATCATAATAACAACAACAACAAAAATACCAACCATTATAGTAAACAGAATAATGATATGAATTAAAATAATAATAATAATGGTGGCTTCTTATATAGGGCACATCGGAACAAAAGAGGCTATGGGGGTCTGTAAGCCACATAAATATAACTTAAACATATAACTTATACATATAACTAATTTACCAAAAAGTGAAATTTTCTCAAATTGCATGGCTATACATTTGACATTAAGTCCAAAGATAGATGATCGAACATTAGCTGTGGGCTTTATTTCATCACGGGTATTGGTTTAGTTAGGGGTGGGGTTAATGTTTGGTTCAGGGTGGATGTTTAGGATTTGGATATAGTGCAGGAAATTGTGGCAGGAGCATGCACTGTGCAACCCTCTGCAATGCTTACATTCTTGTCTTAATGATCGGCTCTGAAGCATTCAAGGAATTACAACCGTACCTATACTTCACCTGGGTAGAGTGAGGTAAATGTCTTGCCAATGGATGCCTAAGCAAAGCAACTCACTTAAAGCAAGGAATATAAACCCATACCTTGTGATCCACAATCTACTGGACCACAACACTTCTACAATGTAATTAAATTGTAGCAGCTTGGAGCATGCACTGTGCAATTAATGCTTACATTCTTGTCCACTATCTTCATGGTCTGGAAGTGTTTTAGGATGAAGTCCCTGGTGATCAGCCATGGGCTCTTGACAGCTATCTCCCTCAGCTGCCTGGCCTCCTTGCTCCAGGTATAGTCCACGCTGTAAGGGGAGTACTTGGAAGTCACAAGCTCATCCAACGTCTCCTCCTGCTCCTTCCGTGCTCCATAATCTGAAGCATATCAAACAAAAGAAAGAGAAAAAACATGCATTTTTAATAGCCCCACTGCTCTACTTATAGCTACTTGCACCCTCTACAAGCAAACAATGTCTAATCGGTGACTGTTGGTCTCCCATGGTCCCCTTTTTCTTATGTTAATTGAGAGCTGATTTGATGAGATAACCACCTGTAAGTGACCATGCAGGGAGGTCTAATCCCTCCTGGATAAACTAGTGTAGACAGGCTTTAATAGCTCCTATTATCTATTAGAGCCGTTGATTAAGAGAGTTTGGACAACCTGGCGAGTACTGTTTTGTTGGGCAATCACAAAACAAAAGAATATATATCATTTTTTGACCAAGTGAAACTTTGTAATTCTATGTATAGATGGATGTGCATATTATATAAAGGAAAAGGCATTTGAAAGAAAAATGAATATTAATATTTTAGTGTACAGTACAGGTGGCGGAGTTGTCCCCAAGTACATGCATGTCACAGTCTACTGACTAACATGCTGATTTGAGTTTCCTGTACAGTGATTACAATGAAAACTACATAACTTTCTTAATTTTTGTTCAATATCGCTCAAAATTTCACCAATCTTTTTCTCTGATTTTTTGCTTTCATGCAATTCAACTTGATAGAAAGACTGGATCGCCTTTTCAAAATAATTGATTTACAAAACTTTCAGTACTGTTGTCTCTGACCTAAAACTATCCTCATTCTAGAACTTACCTCGCAGAGTAACTGAAAATTGTGTGCCTGGATTTCTGTTGTCCGATGCTGTCCTCTGTATTAAAAACAAAAAATAAAAAACAAAATGCACTTTCAAAGTGTCTCAATTCTTGAATACCGGTACAGTAATATCAGAAACTTTCACATCATGAAACTTTCACATATTGATAAGGACGGCCATTGACAGGCTCATGGCAAGAACCTTCTCTAGATCTGAATTGGAGGAAAAAAATTGTGTGCGTGACATTGACAAAAAAAGATTGTGGCTTTTTTTTTTATTGGCCAAGTGTACAGATACTCCTGCTGGAACAGAACAACGCATAACTGAGAAAAAAAACTGCCAGCGTTAATTTCTACACTTTTGGAGAGGATTTTGGCCTTGGGCTTGGATTACAACTGTAAATATCTCATGATCTCCTTCTTCTTCTTCTTCCAATGAGTACATTCCTCTTCGTAGAGTAAAGTCGTACTTTGATTGCTGGGGCTGCAATCCCAAGAACACATGACATTGAGTGCAGTAACAAAGAACTAAGCTACAGTGCAAGTAAAAAGATGCGTCTCAACTGGAGAGCTAACGGAGGGTAAGTGGTGCAAGACGGCTCCGGAAAGACTCAATAGACGGAGCCGAAACCACTGTTGCAGGCAGGACATTCCACAAGCAGATAGTGCTGGGGAAGAAGCTGTGTTGGTAGGAAAGGATTCTACAGTGTTGTTGTTTGAATTGTAGGTGATGTCCTCTGGTTCGGTCGGAAGAAGGGTACAGGAAAGGCGGCGCAGCTGGAATGGCGATTACTCCATGGACGATTTTATACAGCATGATGACCTTGCTGTGAGCTCGACGTTCTTGGAGAGACTGCCACTGAAGATCTTTCAGCATTGCTGTGACACTGCTCTGTTGGTTGTAATCAGCCTTCACAAATCTGGCCGCACGTCGTTGTACCATTTCGATTTTAGAGATGAGCTCCTTGGTATGGGGGTCCCAGACAGAAGAAGAGTACTCAACAATTGGGCGGACATAGGTCTTGTATGCTCGCTCCTTTATGCTGGCAGGGCATTTCCTCAGGTTGCGTTGAAGGAAGCCAAGTGTACTGTTACTCTTCTTGCAGATGGAGTGGACATGGTGTTTCCAGTTCAGATTTCGTTGGAGGATGACTCCAAGGTACTTTGCTTCGTCAAGAGTGCGGAGGGTCGTCCCATGGATGGAATAAGGGGATGCTCCGATGATGGGTTTTCTCTCGTTTGAAATCCTCAGCACCTCGCATTTGTCAACATTAAAGGACATGAGCCATTTCCTCTCCCATTCCTGAACATTTGCGAGATCTCTGTGTAGGGACTCAATGTCATCATGGGAATTGATTGTTCTATATAGGAGGGCATCGTCAGCATAGAGTCGAATGGATGAGGAGACACAATCGGGGAGGTCATTGATGAAAATCAAGAACAAAAGGGGACCCAGGACAGTGCCCTGGGGTACGCCCGATGTGACGTTGGTGGTGTTGCTCTTCTTCCCCTCTAGTAGGACCTGCTGAGTTCGCCCTTGGAGGAAATCCCGAATCCATGAGAGTAGTTCATTTCTGACTCCGTAGTGGTTCAGTTTCAGAAGAAGACGCTCGTGGGGTACTCGGTCGAACGCTTTCGAAAAATCGAGTAGAATGGCGTCGATCTGTTGTTTATCTCTGAGTCCTGTCGCAAGGTCATCTACCGTTACAAGAAGCTGCGACTCACAAGATCGTTTTCTCCTAAAGCCAAATTGAAAGTCTGTTAGGAGGTTGTGCTCGTCTAGGTGATGGATGATTTGGCTGTGGATAATGTGCTCAGCGACTTTACAGATGATAGAGGTTAGGGAGATGGGTCTGTAGTTCTCCGCTTTGTGTTTGTCACCCTTCTTAAAAATGGGTACGACATTGGCTACTTTCCATGCGTGAGGAATTTTTCCCTGTTGTAGTGAGGCATTGAACAGAAGGGAAAGAACTGGGGCTAGCTCACTTGAGATTTCTTTCAGCAGGTACGCAGGTAGGTTGTCAGGGCCACAGGCTGTGTGGGATTTGAGGTTTGCGAGAAGTTTCCTAACTCCTTCGCTGTCGATAACAAAGGCAGGGACTGATGGGTGTGGGCTTTCACCGAGGTCTGGTAGGTGCGATGCATCCTCATGGGTAAAAACGGAGGCAAATTGATCATTGAGTAGGTTGGCCTTGGCTGTGGAGTCACACTGTAGAATACCATCCTTCAGCAAGGGCGCGACACCAGTACTCTCGCATCGGGTGTTCTTTATGTAAGACCAGAACCTCTTGGGTTTGCCTTCTTCACAAAGCATGTCGTTTATGTATGAATGGTAGGCAGATCTGCATTCTTTCTGCATGACTTTCTTGAGATTTTTGTATCTGTCCCTGTCCGTTGGCCTACGAGACTTGCGTGCTCTTTTGTACGCTCGTTTCTTTCTCCTGGATAGGGTTTTCAGATGTTGATTTATCCATGGTTGACTAAAGCGTGGAGAAGAAAACTTGGAAGGAACCATGGTGTCAAGCACCTTGTGGAGCTCGCAAGATATTTGTTCCCACATATCATCCACATTGGTGTTGGTGGAATTTGATTCGACAAATGACTTCCCAAAAGACAGAATTTCTGATTTGATGCAATCAAAATCAGCCTTTCTCCATAGAAAGATTTTCCGACGGACTGGTTTCAGTTTCTTGGCACGTACATCAGATATTGCGAGGATCATGTCATGATCACCGACTCCTGGCAAAGGTACGCATTTGCTGATAAGTGTTGGTCTATTCGTGAGAAAGAGGTCGAGTGTTCTGTTCCCTCGCGTTGGAAAGTCGACAGTCTGTGACAGCCCAACATCGTTGAATGTAGATATGAAGCAGTTGTTGAGTGCAGCGGTGTACTGGTGACCATCTACAGCCGCGGTTTTCCAATTTATGTCAGGAAGGTTGAAATCCCCGCTGACCCAGACTACTGCAGATGGATTACCAACGATAATCTGACGGATTGCTTGGCACAGGGACTGAGCATAAACCAGGTCATTTTTAGGAGGTCGGTAGGCAGACACTACAATGAGCGGTTGTTGGCCATAGAGCTGGATCTTGGTTGCAATGATCTCACAGTCAGACTTTACTTCAACTTCGCAGTCGACTAGATCATTCTTGGTGGCAAGAAGAACGCCTCCATATCCATCGGGTCTGTCTTTCCTGATGGGTGTATTGTAACCTGGTGGCATCATCTCTGAGTTCAACAATGTTGGTTTTAGCCAGGTTTCGTTGGCAATAATTACGTCCGGCTGACAACTCTCCACTGCTTCCCAAAACGCTTCTCTTTTAGCGTACATGGATTGGAGATTGACAGACAAGGCTTTCAACGGTCTGGCTATGTTCTTCCTCCTTTTATTTTTGCCTTTAATAGGAGAAGATTGGTGAGTAGGGGATCCAGGATTTGGCGCAGAATCAGTGGAGTCTTGTTTGCTGTTGCTCAAGGGTGAAGGAGTAGATGATAACCTTGAGTCTTCACTGTTGCTGCTATTAGGAGCAAGATTATGTTCACTTTGCGAGTTGTCGATATCTGATAATACCTGAAACCTGTTTTCAGATACACTCAGGTAAGAGTCGAGTACAGATAGGGAGTGATTCGGTGAATCACAAGCCGCGCAGATCCAGCTGACATTTGACTTGTTGATTCTATCATACGAATCTGACGACATCCCCATACAGTCAATGTGATACCATGTATCACATGAATCACAAGCAACTGACATTCTGGTTTTAGACCAGCGAACTGCTTTCTTACATACTCCACATACTCCACATACTCTTCTTAATATAAAAAAATGACCATCAATTAAAACTAAAAACTTAAAAGTAGATTTCTAGATCTAGATTCTAGACTAAAAGGCAATAGAGTAAAGGAGCCCGTTTTCGGCCACTTAAGACAAAATCCTATTTTTAGGACTCTTTACTTCCTATTTATTATCATTTCTTGTTCAAATCATGAAGCAAATATTATTATTATCTAAACAAAAAAAGAATCCCAGAAAAAAATCACGAATTGCCATGACAATATTCATTTCAATTTTCACTGTTTTGGAGCCAGCTATCGGCCGAAAATTGGAGCTGGCCGATTACCGGCTCCTTTACTCTAGACTCTAGCCTAGAATCTAGGGACTTTATTGTAATGTTAATATTGTGATTAAAGATTAAGAGTTAAGGTAGATAGAGGGGTCTAATTATAGATATAGAGTCTACATCTAGATCTATTTCAAATAACGTTTGTTAACAAATTAAAGTGTGTAACTTTTCATCCATCATCTCATTCATTCATATATCAACTTTCGTACAAAACACTAACTTCAATAATAGCATGTGGGACCACATTTAACTTTGACTCACCCATGAACCTGTGCCACACGGAAATTCATCTAAACAGAGTGTCCTAAGTTGTCGCTCAAAAGCAACGAATGCATCAACACCGGTTGCAACTGGCATTTTGAATTCCCTCTGGATTTTTGTTAGAATTAACTAAATCTTATCTCTTAGCAAAGCTTATAGTTATAATCTAGCTCACAGCAGCATCATTTATTGTTGTAGCAACGCCGCCATCTTGTGCTGAGACGAGCATCACTTCGAGATATTTTTGGCATGGAATAGGCGCATGGAGTGGCTGATCAATGTTTTTCTTATTCTTTTCTTTTACATTTTTTTTTGTTTTACTTTGGCTAGAGTATTTTGATAACGAAGTTGATATCATTTATAAAGGAAACAAAGTGCCCCCCCCCCCCCCCACCTCTCTTTCTCTTTCACACTCACTATACCACCCCCATTTTAATTATTCATTCATCCATGTATTCATAATCATGATTTTAAAATACACTCCTTGCTACATTCATCAATTCATTCAGCCAGTCTTTCCTCCTCTAGTCTAGCTAGTCATCACCTGACACCCCCACCCCTGGCTACAAGCATTTCCTCCTCATTGTGCTGTATACTATTTGTAAACTTTAGCTCAGCATGGGTCTAGCTTTTGTTGGGGCACTGTTGAGACAGCCTAACATGGATGAAAGGGCCATCAATAATGTAAATGGAAAGGGGTTGTATCACATTCTCCAAAGTTGCATGTTTCTTCACCCTTCTCCCTTTCTTCCCCTCCATCTCTCTTTCTCACTCTTTCCCTTTCTATTGCCCTTGCCCCCTTGCTGCTGTGGCGGCTACTCTGTCCACAAATTATTTATCCTTTTTTTTTGCCATAAAACAAACACACATACCACTCATAATACATGATCTTGCAGTGAATAAACATATTTTTATTGTGAAGATAGATGGAACAGGACATTCCAATCAATGTCATAATAATTAAAATTGAAGTGATTCCATGCATATAACAATAGAGTTGTTCAAATGCAAGAATGAAGGAAAAAATAATGACGAAAAATAATCTTATCAATATCAGTTTGTAAATATACATTACTCATGCAAATATATACAAGTAATGCATACATGTATGATTTGGTATGTAGACAAGTTAGAAAAAATTATACTTTTGCAAGTTATCAGTGCTTCTCAATTCGGCTTATATATATATATCACCACACATCATGACCCTGCACATAATATATCATATGTATATATACCTGAGATAATGCTGAAATGACAGTCAGTATACATCGATACTGCTTAACATTTTTTCTTCTCGTCATCATACATTATTAAAGATAAAATCTTTCTCAATGAAAATAACACACTTTCAAAAAAGAAGGCAAAATTTGAGAAAGTCAAACATGTACCAACGAAGAGGAGGTACAACTTACAATACATACATACACTTACAATACATGATTGGTTTCTTTTCTTGACACAATTTTTAGTTTGACAGTTTTCAACACGATTTCCTTTCATGTGCATAGTGTATGTGAAACATCCAAGTGCTCGGTACTTTTATTGATGACGATTCAAGAAATCCAGTATTATGCTATATATAGACATGAAGTATAATATCATGACCGCTTTGGTCATAGAGCATTCTTTCTTTAAGTGACCAAAGTAATTTTTGTTCCCTGTGTTTGCTTCGTTTGGTAAAATTCTGATCAAGAAAGGGTTATTATATATAATCACCTTGCCTTTAATTTAATTCAAATTTTACCTAAAAATTAGCCTGCCTCAACATTTAGATTGGAGGAAAAGGAAACCTTTAATCACACCAAATACTGCAAATTTAAAAAAGTCTGTACATCAAATACTTTCAAATCAAAAAGTGGATAATGCATAGATCTCCCTAGATAAGATTGATATTGAGAAAAGAAAGAGTTCAATAAACTCATGATTGCTGTTTGTTATCATGAAAGAGGCAACTTGCAACTTGCCTCTTGAAATTACAGGCAACTAGAAGGCACTCTGAAGATGATGAATATTCATGTAATGTATATAGGTACATAATGTACATAGGTCACCTCATGAATATTCAACAGCAAACCTATGTACAAACCATATCATTCCAAAGTGTAATACATCAGTCACATCACAAAATCTTTTTTTTTTTTCAATCCAACTTCAAAGTTCAAACGAATCAAATCTGGAATCTGGAGGGCAATGAGGGTTATTTTAGCGGTGCTTGGTGGAGTAATTTTCCATAAAACACTGGTTACATTATTGTACCTGAAAATCTGCCTTGAAATTTGACAGAATTTGACAGAATACATTTCAATCATATAATTCATGTCTCTTCACCCTTTCTTCAATTTTCATTTATATTTTTTGAATTTTATATATTTAATGCATCGATTCCGAGGCCATTTTTAGAAAGACCAGTTATTTTATAGAGGAGTCATGTGAATTACAGGTAAGTATAACAAACACACTTCATACTTAGTCTAGAAAACACAGACGTTTTCTTTTTTTTCATGAAATTTACGATATTCAATACATAACAATACATTGCATAAAAATTACTACTTTCTAACAATACAATATTATCTTTGGTTGACTAAGTCTAAAAGTTGTATTTTAAACACTTGATCACATACGAGTTGTTCATCCAGTCTCTGACAGCCTTCCTCATTTCAATAGAAGGGGACTAAATCCTTTATTCTTCCATATCATTAATTTTCATCCTTCATAATTTAGGATTTGTTGATACTAAGATATACAGGTTTCACTCTAGTTCAATATACATACACAAATTTATATCGCCAGCTATACATACCAGGGGGTGTTTCACAAAGATCTTAAGTCTGACTTAAACATTATGGAGAGCCATGTGTAGCTTTAAAATAAAATAATTTCAAAAGCAAAAATCCAAGTATTTTAGATTTTTCATAAATTCCACATCAAGAACATGAAATCTCCTTGATAATAGAAAATATAAAAGACTATTTTCAAAGATGCTAACAGCTTTCCATAATTGTCTAGTCCAACTTAGGGAAAAGCTCAACTTAGAATCTTTGTGAAACACCCCCCAATACATGTACATGTAGTTCTAATTACAGTTCACATTCACCTAAATCACATATCTATGTAAACAAACAATGATAAACATAAATAATACACAGCACATAATAATAATATCCTGGGTTTATATAGCGCTTAATACATCGACAATGTCTTTTAAGCATTTTTGACACACAACTTAAACCTGCTTTCTTCTATATTCAAACATAACTGCATAAAGTGTACCATAAGATACCTCTTACCTCTGAAACAGAAATCAAAGGATTAAATTGAGACATTGGTTTTATACATAAAGAGCAGCAATAGACAACTTGTATCATTTATGTTCATAGTTTACATAAAGTACTGGATGCTATAGGTGTAAATATTTTCCAGGAAGCCAGTGATTTCAATATGCACCCTTAATATTCTTTTCCTGAATAGATAGTATTCTCACTCAGCAGTCAATTAGCACTCCTTGGGCGTTGCATGAGTAAAAACTAGGCGGAAAGCTGTCATTATATATATGTTCATTTTGTACATAATAGATAACATGTATGTTTTCTTTCACGGTATGTTCACTTTTCAGCGAGTCACCACTAAAGCGAACATGAAATAACAAAAGTAGAGTCATGGAGCAACATACTGACCCAACATTTATTCCTGCAACATTTACTCCAGGCCTTATTTGTTCAAAGATTAAGGGTATTAAAAGGCCAAAGGCTGCAATTGAGGAAATGACCGCACAGCAATTGTTGCCAGAGCACGTCCATGTAGTACCACCAGTAATTCTTTTATACATGTACTTCTTTGGATACGTTTATGTTTGGTGGAAGAGCCAGAAAAAAGACCTAAAGCACCATGTTTGGAAATGGACAAGTGAATTCATATAAATTTACTCATAACTTAGCCAAAATGCAAATTAATCAAATTTCTCTGATTTCATTGATACATAGCAATAGACAGCAACTTTAAATGATATATATTTCATCTGAAGCCAAGATGTGATCAAGTATTCATATTGCCTGGCCACAATATAAATGAGCTTTCCTCTCCTTCAACTTCATATCCTTATTACCATTCTCTAACAGTTATTTCATGTACCGGTAAAAGGCTTGTAGTATAGGTGTGTACCCCCCTCTCAATGGTGTACAAGCCAATTAAACTGCACTGCTTCCATTACTAAACAGCGCATACTGTACATTACATCTTTGATATCACATCACAAGCCATAAGAGAGTTTGTTCAGGGGGGCGTTTCACAAAACTTGTCATCAGTTGCTTCTGATTGGTTATCAACAGATTTGTAACTGATTTTCGTCATTTGTCATTGAAAAAAGCTTTGTGAAACGGGTCCCTGTACTACATGTATAAAATGCCAACAACTGTAAATAACATGATTTTATAACAGGGTGATGGTACCTGCATATCTTCTGGATGAAGTAACTGTTAAAAATAATAACAGATTCATTGAATTTCAATCAAATTGAACTGAATTCAAGAAAATGAAAATGAAGTTAGACACGTAGGATCAAATTTTAAAACTACTAGAATATTTTATCTGACTTATATTATGAACTAGCAATCATAGCACTTCAGATCTCATTGATTCCCAAAGCAGTATTTGTCTGAATACTTCATACTTTAGAGCCATATGGCACTAACCTGATAATTACCCATTTGAAAGCTTTTGGTACGACACGGTACGGTAATCATCGCGTAAAGGCATATTCAATCTTTTGTTGAAAGATACTTTTTATAAATTACAACAATAAAAAATCTGTCAAGACTACTTTTGGTCGACTATCCAGTTTTGCATGAAGAAAAAAAATTTATGGTTGCAAAAGTTTGTGATCGTATTACAGAGGGTTAAGGAATGTCTATTCAGAAAAGCTCAAAAGTTAAAATTTCTCGTAAAGTACTTGTTATTCTGAAAGAGATTTTGAACTATGGTTTATTTTGATAATAGAAAGTTTAGTGTATAATAACAAATCATGTAACAATGCTATCCTTGTATTCATGCCATGTATTATGAGACTTGTTCCTGCTCGTATCATTCAGAATTCATATTACTGTGTCACTTACTTTATAAAAAGACATCTTCAGTGAATTTACATTTTACCAGTCCCATCTCTTGAGTTCTAATTCTTATTCAATCTTTAACTGAGCTCATTAATAAATCCCCTTATCAAACTGCACAATATTTGCACCTTTTTGTTCATCAAGAAGACAGATTAGGCTACTTGCTTAAAAAAATTAATTTGTTTGAAATTTGGGTGTATCTATGTTACTAGGGCTATGTTCATATGGCAGTGTCATAGTTTTAACTTTAAATCTGCAAACATCTGAAATGTGTGTTCACATGGCATCAGAGTGACTGGGTGAGGTTTTAAACAACAAGCCAGGCAAGCAGTCATTGCAATTACAAGCTGGTGATACCTCTTAAGTTGATTGTGTCCACATGGCATATAACTTAAAGACCCCCCCCCCCCCCTAGTTTTTGTGATGACCATAAGAATACTTCTGGTTTAAAACTTCAAGTAAATTTAAGTGCCCAAAACAACGTGTGCATCTCCACGTCCCCTTTAATATCTAGGATAACCCGAAAGTTAAAACCACAAGCTAAACTTAAAATGTATGAACTATTGTATGAACCTAGCTAGAAAGGCATAATATTACAATATGAAAATGATTCACAGTCAAACGATTCTTTTTAAACGTGTCCTTCAAACTTTAAAGAGACCTGGCTTGACTGAACATGGCTATGATAAGAGGTTCTATTATATACTTTCTAAGGAAAAACAAACATTGCTTTCAATTTGTGTTTTCATCGAGTAGCAGTTGATAAATATGACAACTTTGACGAGCCCTGGGGCTGAAAAAAGTGACGTTATGTAAACTAAATTAGCACAAAAATACCACTCTTCTTGCTCTCACAAGACAATTTCTTAAGTATTTAGTAAAACAAAGCCCATGGAACAATATTCATGAAATGCAATGAATACTATGAATATTAATCATTTTAGCAATTATCAATAAAATATCATCACATGCATGAAAGGTGAATTTTGCATAGCTACACAATCCATTATACACACTTCAAACTTTGTTTATATAAAACATAGATTAGGTGTTTATTTGCACTCCAATAATAATGTACATGATATACTAGCAGATTGAATATCAAAACAGGTTTGTCTCGCAGTCAGTGGTTTTTAGGACACATTCAACTGTAGATAAAGAGTTGACCAAAAAACATCACATACAATTGGACATCTACTCTTTGTACCCTGGATTTCTTTGTGCCTTTTTTTACATCCCTGGAATATATATAAAGAACTCATTAGGACATGAGCTCCTTGAGAAAATGCGCCTTAAATCATAATTGAATCCTCTTACAATGCCTAATGGCATGATTTCATCCTCTTTCCTTTTGTGCTAAAATGCCTAGTGAATGAAAATAAAAATCTCTAATGGATCGGCTCTGTAGGAGGCAGGACTTATCAAGCTCAGAAAGAGCTTAGAAATGATAATGAGTCCAGGTTTTGGATCAAGTAGATGGATATTGAGCACCGTTTATACATGATGCAGTAAACAGCTTCCCCCCCCCCCCCCCCCCAACAAAAGAAAGAAAATGCCACGGCAAAGGAAAATACATTTTACATGTACGGAATGGTAGTGGAAAACATAGCTTCGGGCAACACAGGCCCTGAGCGGATTTACATAATTATATCTGTGTGTTACCAGGGAGTTTCAAGGCGAGCAACTCCTTGATGTTATAAGACAAAATATATGACATAATAGAAAGAAAACTCGAGACAGAGAGGGATGGAGAAAGGATGAATTACATCGTAGGTAGGCCCTTGTGTTGGGTCCCTTCACAGTACACCAAATACAAAGACAGAATAAAGATATTTGAAGTGCATTGCGCGTAAATCATTGAATTTTGCTGCAGTATTTTTTTTTTGTAAGTAGTTTATACTGCATGCATGAACAAGGCTCAAATTCGTTTTCCTTTCGCCCCAATGATGCATACATTTTAATGTCACATATAATACCTGTTTTAATGTTTGTGAATTATGACAGCTTTTAAAACTATATTGGATTATATCCACTGGACAAAATTTTAAAAAGTCCTTCAATTTTCATTAAAGAAGGCAGTGATATAGTAAGAATAATAATGCATTTATATAGAACATTGCAAGTTTACAAGAAATTTACAGGGATAACACTAACACAATTGGTTAAGTTTTGAGATGCTTTTTGAAGACATTGAGAATTTTTTTGTACGAGGAATTGCTGCGGACATGAATATCACACTGGATTATATATTAGCTTAAGATCAGATGCAATCGGCAAGTAATATTAGAATTAGTCTCGCTTCCAAGGAAAGATAAGAGTACAGCGTTGTCATCAGGGCAGCAACAAGTGTAAAAGCATGACAGGTAACTATCAATAGGTCTTGAAGCAAGAAAGTTGAACAGGTGTACAGCATGTGTTGTAGTTCATCAAAGTAAGAACCATCCCTCACAGCTGGTTATTAATTACGGATGTTCAAGACTTGATACACTCTCATTATCACGGATGGAATGTAGTCTGTTGACACACACCCTTGTCATTTAAAGTGCGTATAGAGAGTCTGTATTCTGAGACTATGCAGACTGCACAGTGTACTCCACCCTATAGGCTCTGTACAATAGCTCCACCTTTTATTCAACACAGCCACAGACTGACATGGTTAGCCTCAACTCAAGCCTCAATGCAGCTTTATGGAATCGTGTTCAAATGTCATATCAGAGTTTGGGAGTGCAGACTTGATGGAATGGCAGTGTTGAAGGGCAGCTGATGAGAAGGATCTCCTTCATGCATTTTCAGATCAGATACTAGGGTGCTGCTTCGCATTTAATTTTAATTTTGAATCTAATTTTCAAATTCCATTTTATTGTCCAATAGAAATGATCTCTGATCATATTTTAATATCATATATAAACTATATATAACATTACATAAATATTATCCAATATTTGTTTACCGGTACTGGCTTGTGCATATACTTGTACAGGTGTATGTAGAGAAAAAAGTAATGTGCGATATGACCCAAGGAAATACAGAAAAATATAGGATTACGGGAACAGCAGGATTGTATGTATACAGATCAATGTACAAAAAGGAAGAAACAAGTTTCTAGAAAATGTTGAGTATGGCACTTCAATGGTTAGAGTCGTTTAAAAGACTCCAAGCAAGCATTATATGGAAACAGTGGTCGATTTTCATCTTGTTTAATCTGGTTCACTCAGAGGGTGTGTCGATTCTCGCTCCGAAAGATTTCTAGTTATCATAAAGATGAACATAGAAGCGTATCCTCTGTGGGTCTGAACACACATTTTCAGTTTCCATAATCATGGTGATTCATCATCTTCATCATTTATTAAAGTCAGCATTTTCCCTCTTACGAAGGTTACTGACTTTCACCCAATGATGACACTCCCTACTTCCTTCCCTCCCTCCACTTCTTCTTGTCCCCATATCCTCCTCATTTAATAGATGCATTAGTAAAGTGATAAAAAATGGGTAACAAATTATTTAGTAAACCCGCAGTAATATATACCGGTAATTAGTATTTCTGAAACCCTATGGAACTATTGCAGTGATATGTACAAACAATTTAAAGACGTTTGATGATGACAGTGGACTGCATCAAGTGACATCATTTGTTCCCTCTCATTTTCGCTGTGATGAATCAAAAGCATCTAAAAATCATTTTGAGGGACTGTGAGATGAAAGAATGCGACTGGCAAAGTCTAGATCCCTTATTTTCAGCTGTACAATGAGAAATTGCAAACATAAAAACTAGAATCTCACCGTAAAATCAGAAACTTTGGCATGCAAGAAGAAACTTTTGAGAAGTTCCTGCTCTGTCCAGATTAGCACATCAAATCAGATCAAATCCACTCATGTTAAGCTTCGACATCAAGTGTATGAAAACCGCTCAATATATCAATAACTTCAGACTATATTTGAAGTAAATTTGGTTCACCATTGGTATCACAAACCCATAGATCATTTCCAGATTCAATTACACTTCAAGTACAAAATAACTCCCTTGTGATAAGTACTTTGAAATTTACATACACTGTAAACATCTGCATAAGATCATTGAAATTGACATAAAGATCTACATAAGAATCTCACCATCATCATGAACGCACTACAAATTCAAATATATAAAAAAAAAATCATGATTTCTCCAAGAGGCACTCTCATTCCTAGTCACCATAAGATCACCATGTGAATAGTCCAACTAATAACAAAAAATAAAACTGTGCAGACCTTTCTTCATCAACCATACACACCTGCTCATAGACCATGGAGTGAATGCAATATTAATTTCACATAAATCATACGAAAAATAAGAAGAGGATTTCTCTTCAGAGAAACCAACATGTATCTTGAGCAGGATGATGCATATTCATCATAGAAAAAGAGAAACAATTGAGATGGATGGTAAAGGGGAAGCTTAATTATCCATGACGTCGTCTTTTGACTCCTTGCAGTTCCTTCTTGACAGAAAGTCACTCGAGAGTAGTCTTAAGAAGAGCACAAAGTTCACAGAAAGCATGACCGTTAGTCCGACGCCGGCCAGAAGGCTCATGGTGATCGGCAACTCGTGAGTGTGCTGCGACAGCCACCACCCCATCCAAGTGAGCACTCCAAAGCGGAACACGATGTACGTCGTTACGTTGACGACGCTGTTGACCTTGAAGGCCGTAGACGACTTGGGATAGCTGCTCATGAGTAGGAGCTGCCGCAGGTGCAGGAATATACTGTTGACCTCTGCCATGAGCGCCACCACGGCGTAGCCTATGTAGTGTTTGTAGTTTAGGGATACGCCAAAACATGTGAATATCTGAAGAAGGAAAAAAATTGTGAAAAAGGTGAATGAATTTGCTATCATGTTCCTTTCATAAATCGAACTAACTGATATGCTATCCTCTGAGTCTATTTGAAATATAAATTAATTAAACTTTTATATGAACCATATCAACTTGAACTTCAGGAACATATACATTTAGTCACAATAATATGTGGTTTTAGAACTTTTGATACTACACACCCACAGTACATGGAATGTCATACAGTTTTCAATTCAATAGGACATTTGGAGAAATATGTAGCTCAAAGATGTTAAATGAAGCAAAAAAATTTCTGGCTCTTTACTCAGAGAAGTTGAGATTGATAATTCTATGAAACACCTACTCTGAAAACGCTCATGTAGTTGTTGTTGTGTTATTATTCGGGTCTGACAATGTTTATACATGTAGTTGTATTTTTGGCATTCAGTCAAATTTGACTATTTAGGCCTAGGCTAGTTCTCTAGTTTAATCAGACAGGGTAGTTGAGTCGTAATAGTTTCTATCCCTAGCTTGGTACATGTAACTCTTGTGTGCTTGTGCTTTGCCGGTCCAATGCTAGGGATGTATCCTCCCAGCCAGGGAATCAAGTCGCTCTCCTTTGACCCCATGCTCCAAGTTAGCGCATTATCCTAAACTATTGAGTGTTTGTCAGGATGTAATTTTTCTTTTACCAACTCTGGCACACAAATTATAGGAAGGACGGAGTTCTAAATTTGGAAATGTGTTTGGTGCACTATTCCCAATACAATCCCTATATAAAGTTTTTGATTTACACTGACATTTTGCCGGTAATTTAATATTTTGTAATAAATGTAAATCTGGTGCCTGGCTTCCGGAAGTCCCCGCAGTGGAAGCGCGGTGTGGAGCATGGAACTTCAAAGCCAAGTGGAATGTTACACATCCCCATTGTTATGCTTTAGAACTCACAAATGCGTTGAATAAATTACAAGAGTTTCGCCGGCTTGATTCCAGTCCTTCTCTATCAAGTCCCTGTCCCAGCTCACCCTGTTCACATGTTTAAACACGCCTACAGGTAGTCTTTATTTGGACATGTAGGTGCACCAACGCACACACACACACACTTTTTTTTTTATTAATGTACATGTACAGTATGTAAATGTAAAGTTGGATAATCTGTGCAAATCAATGCAACTTCCCAACCAAAAGTCACTATTTCACCATACACTATGCTCAATTGGCATCCATCACTGCCCAATCAACCACAATGAATTCCTACTGATTCCATTCACATGACTGTACAATGCATGTACATGTATCATATGACCGAATTCTATTTGTCTTGACGACTAGACTACTGTACTTTCCTAACAAAGTATGATTTGAATCATTGCCAAGTTTAACAGACATGTGATTTTCACTTGTATTATGAGCTTTACAGCTTGTGTTTGTTGTTGTGATTTAGCAACAGAACAATTAAAGTCAAATGAAGTACAGGTACAAGCCTAATGTATGTTATTGGTATGTAATGTGTATGGAAATAAGAAAATGTCTAGTATTCTCTTGCAAACTATGTTTCTATTAATTGGTATAGTTTATTAAAATAAAATAAAATAATAAAGACTCACAAGAATCATGACACACCATGTCCTCATTGTCCTTGGGGGAATACCCTTTCATATGACATGTTATCTTGTTCTAAAACATTCATAATTTTCTTATAAATCCTTTTTCTCAGATTTTTGTCTTTTTTTTTAATGTTGACTTTATCTTTACAATAGTTGGATTCAAAGGGTGGCAGAGGTGTTGTGGTTCAGTGGATAAGTGGCCAGACTGCAGATCACAAGATACTGGTTCAAATCCCAGCCTGGTACTTTGTCATTTGACAAGTCATTAATCTACATTTGCTACTCTCTACCCAGATGTAAATGGATGTACCTAATTAAATATGCTTGAGCAATTACGGCTCAGCTATAACCTGGGTAGTTTAACAAGTATGCTATTAAGTGCCATGAGTGTCATCATAAAAGATTTGAGAACTATACTCATGAGAAGCCATTATAATTATCAAACAGAATACTTACAACAATGTGATGAAGTAGTAAAGGCCACGAGCTGGATATCTTCTTATATGCGAGCATATCTAGGAAATCATACACAAAATAACCTGCAAAAACAAGAAAAGATTTGAAAAAAGTGTTAATACTCAAGGAACAAGGGAGTGTTAGTATTGCTCTGCAGATAATGAAATTTAATAGAAGAAAACACAAATGACGTTCTTAAAGTATACTCCCCAAGACCCTAACCTCCATCCCAAACCTCCACCCCCCCCCCCAAAAAAAAAGAGTTAATGTACTAGATTATAATTCATTTACTGAGAATGCCTTTTAATTGTTTATGTAACATCGTATCAATTTGGTATTAAGCATCTATGAACATTGAGTAATCGTCTGCTCAATCTGAGAGGCATAATACACTTTAACACAGAGATTAAACACTCTTGTATATATTGTACTGGAAAGAATTCCATAAGAAAGTCCATAATGTGTTTTGTGTTGTTTCTTGGCTACCTTGTGAAGTTGGCAGCCATTAGATTAAAAGGTAAAGAATATTGAAATACTGTTTTTGGCAATGTGGCAATCTAGTTTGCAGGCACAGTTATGCCTTTATATCAATTTCAGTCTTACTGTGTAAAAGGGTGTCTGCAATGTGAGACTATGCAGATTGCAACAATTCACAGGGAATTCTGCACACAAGTTAAGTTCCATACAGTCTGAGAAAAAGGCAAGTCAGGAAAATTTTAAGTACTTCTGAAAGGTTTAGCTTTAATATTAGTGACCGTGACTTGTCATTGCAAAAGCATGTCCATAATATCTCTTCAAATATAGGTTTTTGAGTTCATTGGTGATAGGGAAATGTTTGTAGAGTTCACCTTTATCAAAATCTCCTTGAGCGTAATTGAAGGACGGACAAGTCCTACAAGACTACTATAATAGCTATTTCAAGGACTCTGAAGAGGCGAACCAAACACACTCATATCTTCAACTGTCAATACATTGTGTTTGAACTCCATACATATCTCAGATAAGAGCACAACTTATCACAAAATCAGCTTGAAATTTGATGATCTTATTGTAGCCCTATAGAGTATAGGGAAAAGGTTGAATCAATACTATAGTGTGGTGGCCGCCCCCGCCTCCGTCTTCAACCTCGACCTCTACGTCGGGATTATTCTCATTCCCAGCTGGGGAAACTGATTCTTTATATCTGTCAGGATATTCGTCAGCCGACATCTTATTTATAATGTCCGAGCGGTTAAAGTAATTAGATCTTATCTTTTATTTGAAGAAAAGACGGGGGAAGCTACAATACTTATTTACGTTCGTTTCGTCGAAATATACGACTATGACAGAGTACCAGTTAAGAAGAAAGACAAAGTGTTTATAGACTCATAATTTCAGTTTCAAGACAAAAGAAAATGGTCAACTTTTATTAATGCATGTACTTCAAATATTTACATCTCATATCACCACTGTCACAAATACCTTGTGCTCATAGTTATACTTAATGAATTTATACGATTGTCGTTCTTATATTCAAATACATGTAATAAAGTGAAGGGCAATGATTCATTGGGATTTATGGGACTTGGAAGTTTTCCGTCTTAGTTTAATTCCATAGCATCATATGGGGAGAGGTGGACTTAGCATATTCCTGCGTCTTAATAATAGTGGTTCATTAATTCCAGCATCTTAATTCCATCATTTTAATAGTGGTATATTAATTCCAGTATATTAATTCCAGCGTCGACTTCATTCTGTACCTTCATATTCCAGTTGTAAATAATGTGTAGTTCCTTAGATATATGGGATGATTTCCAGGGAGGGAGAGAGAGCTTATGTGTGGTTCCGACGAGCGCCCAATTCCAAGACCTTTGGGGGGGGGGATTTCCAGGGAGAGACTAAATAGCTGTTATCCCGACGAGCGCCCAATGCCAACTCCTCACGTTTCAGAAATGTTACAGGTTATAAAGGCATAATGCAGACGTGGGGGAAATCGATGCGCTAAGCGATCTTGGAAAGCACACGCGCAGCGAAAATGGACTTAACATGAAGACTGTGCTAGTTCAGAGCAAAATATCTAAGTAAATCTCTTATTTTACCATTAATTAAATACAACACTCTGAATGACATATCAGTTGCAGTAAATATTAACAAGTTACATTGTCTAAACAACTTTCCATCCAAATTCATGTGATATATTGATAAACAATTACAGTTTAACATCTTAAAGCATCTCAATAATGGATCCAAATGTCAAGCGCTCGTATGCAAATTAGTTACGTACGACATTGTGCGTCGGTGAATGACGCGCTTGAAAACAACAATCATGACTCATTTACATTTCTTTACATTAGTACATAAACTGATAATATCGTTGTATTGTCAAGCTGCATTACACGATCTAGGATTATAATCAAGTCTTAAAGAAGAGGACAATTTAGGAATCCAAATTGTCAGGTAAGTTTACAAAATCAAGGGGGGGGGAACAACTAAATGTACGTACGGTGCTAATATACAAGAACATATTACAAATACCTAATTAATTGATACTAGTATTAGTGCCGTACTCTAAATATCTTTTCTAATATCAGTTGAATTTCCCTACCTTTCAAGTTGAAAACTAGTAATCACAATCTGAATCAATAAGTATCGGCCTATTTCTTCGTCTATCTGATTTAACTATCTGACGATTGATGCGATCTACTCCGAAGGACTAGTTAGAGTTTGTTTATGAGTTTGTGATAATGTAAACAAATATCTACGTCACGACCGCGCAGCGGATCATTACAATAGTTTGATGACCTGAAACCACAAATATATTCACAGTTTTATCTGAACAATGTTAACAAGTCCCTTATTAGGTTATTCACAAAAAGAGCATTAGTCATATTTCAAAATAAACAGATTTCTTGATCACAATCAGAAACTCCCTTATTTGTGTGAGATCAACAATAACATGAATCTCACTATCACTATCACAATTCAATTCAATTTCAATTGGTTTCAAAACACACATTAGTGTGCTTTTATCTGTTTGTGAATGGACATGATTATTTGCCATGCACATTGTGTTACAACAAAAGTCAGGAAACTGCCATACGGCGGAAGCATGATTGATATCATACTACTGGAAATTGATATACAATGTATCACACATGTGAACAGGTGCAATAGAAATTGAGACATCGGATGCAATTCAAGTCTCACTTTCAATAGGCCTGTTTCCATCAGCTCGAGATTGCCAAATATCCTGCTATTTTAAATATCCCGATCGCAAATTAATTATCCAGTTAATTTGGGTCTTCATCAGCCCGAAGTTGCAATTAGCGGGATATTTGGTCGAGATAATCATCCCAAGATATCTCGGGCTAGTTTGAAAAATATCCCGCTATTTGTAAGGTCCGTCCTCACCAGCCCGAAGACTCGCACTATCAAGCTAATTTCTCGAGCTCGAGTTTCAAGTTTCGTGGTCAAGTCTCGAGCTGATGGAGACGCGATTGTAACTTCGGGATTATTTCCCAAATCAGAAATAGCAGGCTATTTGTTAATCTCGAGCTGATGAAAACAGGCCTTATACTGTATGTGTGAATGGGCCGATTGATGAAGCAAGGGGAGTATTACCGGTACATATTATGATATTTACAGAGTATGTTGCCATTTTTTTAATGTTAAAGAGCACCCTTCAAGCCAGAGATTTGAAAGGCACTTCAGAATTTGGTGCTTACCTGTTGAAAGAGAAACTAGAATCTCGCTGAATGGTGTGAAGTTGTGTATTAGATCATCTAAGATGAACGGAGATGTGTACAAACTGCAAGGGAAACAAAAACAAAGACAAAGAGAAAGGAAGAGGGACAGAGAAATAAAAGAGAGGAGAGAGAGGAGAGAGAGGAGAGAGAGGAGAGAGAGGGAAGGGAGAGAAGGAAAGAGAGGGAGAGAGAGAAAAAGAGAAAAGGAGAGAGGGGAGAGAGAGAAAGAGAGAGAGAAGGGAGAGAGAGAGAAGAGAGAGAGAAGGAGAGAGAGAGAGAGAGAGAAGGAGAAAAGGAGAGAAAGGAGAGGGAGGAGAGAGAGATAATGTTAACGAATAATTTCAATAAAGGAGATTAGAGACGAATCTCCTCATATTCAAATTAAACATACTCATTACACAGTACATGTACATGTACACTGCGGATTAAATGGTCGACTAATGTACCAGTAGTCCAGAATTTGGTCAGTTTAATCCCTCGTGACCTCTCATCCCCAAAGATGGTGTGATCCACTAATTTATGTATGGGTAATTGAGCTTGCCACAGGTAGGGGAAGATCACATGCACTTCAGAGTGATGGCTCTTAAAATAAAATTGGTCAGATTCTAGACTAAAATACTCTTTTCACACTGGTTTTGCTTAACCCCATACTTTGCTTTGCCCCGTACTATCCTTAATCCCGGACTATTTTTTTTGGTGTTTCACACACGCTGTTTTTAGTCCCGTACTATAGCGCCTATTCCGGAATACAAAAATTCACGCTGTTCTCACTGCAATTCGTTAACGCCGGATATCGTGAATGTTATGATTGGACATACTTCGCATCTGGCCAGCTGCGATACGCTCCATTGCGTAGTACCGGACTAATTTTCGTTTCTGTTCTCATTCATTTGCTTGGCACCGCAATTGCGGGGTTAGCAGGAGTTGGCACCACAATTGCGGAGTTAGCCCTGCTATTTTGCAGGGTTAGTTAACCCCGTACTATAGGTGGGGTTAGCCAACTTTAGCCCACTTTGGTAAAAGCCAGTCTGAACAGAAAGTGTAATAGGCTTAACCCCGTACTATAGGTGGGGCTAAGACCCCCCTTAACCCCACCTATAGTACGGGGCTAAGCAAAATATTGCCAGTGTGAAAACAGTACTAGTGAACTTGATAAATTTGAACACAATCAAGTTGTGCTTTTAACAAACACTGGTTGAAATATATCTGCTGTATACATGTGTTCATGTAATATACACATTGTCTGTTCTGACTGTTCAGAGCCAAAAGTATGCATACAGTAAAGGTACCAGTATATAAAATAACATTTTTATGGCTCCAAACAAGACAACACAATCTTATTTGTATTGACTGAAATCCTAATCTGCAAATCCCCACAAAAAATGCTCAGATAATATATGTTGATCTGTAATGAATTATTTCTGAATACTCCATCATATACATTTTTGTAATAGTAATGATCACACCCTTTAAAATTTGGAGGAATTATGAAACACACAAAAATTACTATTACAAAACTAATATACATGTAGGTGATAGTTCATACAAAATTAGAATAAAAAGCATACCACTTCATTTCATAATGTAATAAACGGAAATCAATAATGTCTAAAGTACAATGGTCAATTGGAAGTCTTATGAAAGCTTCACCATACACAAGGCAAGCTTACCAAACTGTAGGCTACCTGCACATGTACAAGTTTATCCTGCAATATGCCATACGGCATAGACGGAAACATAAGAGAGAGAGAGAGAGAGAGTAAGAAAAAGAGAGAGGGGAATAGAGACAGAGATAGGAGAGAGGAGAGAGGGAGAGACAGAATAGAAAGAGAGAGAGAAAGATGGACTAAGAACTGGCCTCACTCCTCAAGAATTTTACATGTACATGTACATGTACTATATTTATTTTTAAATAATAATGATGGTATGGGATGAAAATCATGAAAAAAAGGAGAGAATAGTAAATCGTGGGCATTGTAGATGACCCTAAACACAAATGTTACGCTGGGCTTCTCACAAAAGTACATGTGTATTAATTAATTTTAATTTTTAAATGATTAAAGTCACATACACATGTACACTGTACATCCTACATGTACATGTATGTCAGTTTGCTGGATTGCCAGGCAATGTGCAACCTTTGATGCAATCTTTCAGGCAACTCGCCAAAAAATATTAACAAATTAATTTCACATGTGAACATGTCCCCTGGATATTATACAACCGTCCCCAATGTAGGTCACATTCATGGAGAGCGGATGAATGGAGCTGCTGATTTTCTACACACTCGCGTTTGTTTACCTACAACAAATATGGCACATACATTGTAGTCTGTACCAACAGACCTGGGTATTTAGATATATCCGTAAAAACCCTGATATCGTTGATGTACCCCTGTACATGTACATGTATGAAGCGGTTTATAAACCCAAAATCATAATAATATTATTGAGATTATGTTGATGATGATTATTCCTTTTATTCACCCTGTTTGATGTGTACTCACAGAGAGAAAACCATAGTCTTTTGATCTGAAATTTCGCACATGTACAATTGTACATTCATAAACTCATTTTGCCGCTAAAGATAAATTTGAGATTTTAGGGCTTGCAAATTTGTGATCACAGGGGCTTTGAAGCAGCAGACTTTTTTAGAAAACTCAGGCTGATGGTAACAGGCCTAGTGTTACACAACGCGGGCTAATGGAAACAGGCCTAACATCACGTTATACAAGAAGCAAACATTAGATCTGAAGTGCGTTATGACTTATGACTTATGAGTGATGTGCAAATATTAACACATGGATGTTTGATTATTTCCTTTTAAACTACACTGCGGATACTCTACTTGCATTTTGCAATGAACTATAAGTGACCTCTTTTTTCATAACATGTAGAGTACAGTACATGTATTGTATTGTTAAAAACAAAAAACTTTTCCAAATTGTTCATGACAGCCATTTCCATGGCAAGACTTGTTTGCAAATACCGGTAGCGAGAAAAACAGAAAATCAAGATTATTGCATGTTGTGAATGATTACAATTATATATCTACATGTACATGTAGGTCTACTTTAAGGCATGAAACTGTCCTCAAAAACTCAACCAATGCAATAGTACTACTACAGTACATGTACATGTACAATGTACAATGTACAATGTATGTTCTACTACTACTAATACTACTACTACTACTACTATACTACTACCAAGGAGGATATACTACAGTAGTACTTCTACTTCTATACTACAAAACCACCCTGCAGTTATTAATTTTTATTTTACAGCAGTCCTGTTTCATTCCTCTGTCATATAAGGCCCGCATACTGTACATGTACATGTACAGTATAGCACTGATTGTTTTATGATTTGAATGATGATTGAATTCTACCTAATGTACATACCGTATGTACATTCTACTTGTGCACAGCAGCAACCTTGGATCATGGATTGTGAGGATATCAAATTGAGATCAAGTATTATCTACAGTATCTATCCCTGCCCATTGTGTACTTACTGTACATGGTCACTGTGTTATGTTAGTACAATGATCTCAAATATCGATTACTGTGTGATCAAGTAAACTATAGTAGTTGCTTCATTTCAAGTCGCATAATAGCCATGTCAATTCATTTTGATTCAACGCTGTTTACTGGCTATAATGATGGAAATTGGTTGTGTTAACAATTAACATGCATTCTCAGTGGGACCCAGAAGAATGTACAAGTATACATAAAAGGGGTTCTCTTATTGTTGTAGGTGTGTGATTTATAAGTCAACATTTCTTGCAGTTTAGTATACTGCAATAATATTTCGCTTATTTGTAACGAACTTTGTACAAAAAAAAAGTGTGATTGTACATATACCTGCACATGTATGTATTGTCATTTATCAGCGAAAGATATTTTTCAGTATTCCCCAGTGTAGAATTGTACAATGTACATGGAGGTCTAATGTATTATATTAGATAGCTTAGACAGAAACCGAGATGTGATTGGTCCAGAGCTCGTCACGTGATATCAATTGCGAGGGTCCAAATTGTTATATTTTCCTGGTTGGTTATATTGTACCGGCCGGTGAAAAGAATATATTTTTAATCAATGCATGTCGCCCTCTTGAGGACTGTATGTCACCAATTACACACATAACACCATTACCGACGGTCATTTTATTTTTTCAATATTTTTTTTTCATGAAATTTGTTCAATATTTTTTCAATATTTTTTTTTCCCTTGAAATTATTTTTTCCACATTTTCTTTTTTTCCCCAAAAATGCTTTTATGGGGTAAAAAAAATGGGGTAAGAATTTTTTTTTTGATTTTTTCTTTTTTTTTTTTTTTTTTTTCCCCCAAATTTTGTTTATAATTTTTTTTTTTTAAGGTTTTTTTTCTTTCTTGAACTATCTCGACAGATTACTTTTCAATAACTTTGATTGTCCCCGAAAGAGAAAAAAAAAACCAAGGCTATCTAATATAACAGTTATTGACTGGCAGGGGGTATATAACATTCTTTGGACCTGAAGGGAGTTATATTTTCCCTCGTGACCATATTTTCCCTCAGCGCTGTGCGCTTCGGGAAAATATGACCACTTGGGAAATATAACTACCTTCAGCGGTCCAAATAATGTTATACTACACCCCCTGCCAGTCAATAACTGTATAATATAACATGGTTAGTTGGTTATACTCTGTACAAAGTACACAGGGTTCGGTACCAAAAGTGTGAAAGGCTTTTCTTGTCTAAAGTACTTACAGTTTACAACTGTTGTACACGTACAGTATGTTGATAGAGCTAATTCCTTATGTACAAATAGCTTCTGTGACAGCAAAATAGCACATCAATTTTGCAAGTACATGTAATGTGCTTTAATTTGAACAACTCAAAACTACAAAAGAACGATTCGTTCTAGTCTTTGAAAGTTTAACTTGTGACATCGATTAAGAAAATAATCCCCTCAATACTTTTCAGCTGGTCAGTTATTTACGGCCTTTGTCCGCTGAGTGACCATAGAACCATATCAAAACCTATTTGTTGAGTAAATAGTATTATAGTTTACAAACTTCATACAAAGGGGGTACCCAAGCATTCTCATATCAATTCAATTTAGCTCTATAGTTATACTGAACTATCCATACACACAAAAAACCCTATGTAAGTTGTTGATGTTATGAAAAGTTGTGCACTGTTTTGGTTATATTATAAAGGCATTCTGCAAAGTTTCCTTGTGCTCTTGTTACTTTTAGTGCTTTGAAATTTGATTGTACATGTACTGTAAGCCTACCTGTGTGCCAAGTCTGCAGGTACAGACTCTTATTTGGCACAATATACACAAGTCCATTAAGTCTTGAGCAGAGCCTATATCTTGGTTCGTCTCTGGTTGTGTCAAGCAGCTACAGAGCAGTGCCTATTGTCTGTATACATGTAGTCTTCTTGCTCAGACTCTCTGTCTTGTTAAAGGGAGTGGATCGCCAGTTTCCATGTGCAGAAGGCCATAATTCGCTGACACCAGACTTGGTGGAAATACCATTAATGGGGGTACAATTTTGCACACAGCAAACCCATAGTCCAGTCAAGAATTACCCCCAATCTCTGGGAGAGCTCGAGAGTCTTCGGCAAATCAAAGCATTACATAAGGTCCAATGGTCATTAAACTCAAGGCTAACCCTGGTGATTGACAACACCTGTTATTGGGTAAACACCCGAACGGTGTCGAATTCCCTGTGAGAGCCGACTACTCAGTGACTTTAATCAAGCTGACAATGGTTTACACAGACCTGCAAACTTACACAGGTCTGCTAGTATTAGCATGAGTAGCAAGTATAGTAGTAGTACATTGTAGTAGTGGTAGTAGATGCTCTTATCATTATCATCAGCATCTATTTCCTGATTACCATGGTGACAAAAAATTGCTTGAGAACTTTAGAAATACAAAAATCAAATTCCCCATAGCCTGTGAATTCAGCACGATTTCTTCTGTCACTCAAGGATAGGGTGAAAGTTACTTTGATGGATCACAAATTATGAAGTTAAGAGTTTTCAAAAAAACTCTGCACGCCTTGACATCGCACTAATGCTCAAGTTTATGTGGTTCAGATAAGGACAGGAAATTACTAAGCTAGTGCCAACAGAATAATGGCCCTGCCAGAAATACAATATATGACTAATTGTTTTCACTTCATAGATGTACTGTACATGTACAGTGAACAACATTTTAACAAGAGATTTACTACAGTGAAACCCGTCTATAGCGACAGCCCAAGGGAAACACAAAAAGTGGTCTTTGTAGACAGGTGGTCTTTGTTTACAGGATCCTTTACTTTAGTACATGTTTCAATAAGAAACCAATTTCAAGGGAAACTAAAAATGTGGTCTTTCTCTCTAGAGACAGATGGTCACTAAAGCAAGTTTGACTGTGATTTAAACCATCCCCCCCCCCCAAAAAAAAAAAAAAAAAAAAAAAAAAAATTAAAAAATGAATGAATACTATAGAATGCCCTATTCAGTGGATGTTGTACCTTTAAAGTTTACCAGAAATTTGAGGCAAAACAAAATTAATTTGGTTGGCTGAATGAGATATCAGAGGCACTCATGTAACATACATCTAAGAAGAGTTTTGCCCTTGTCGCTTTTGAACATGTTTTTTCTTCTTTATTCTACATAAAAATATTATACTAAATATTGTCAATCTGTTGGATACTACATGTATGCATCTTAGTATGATGTTGTACAGAGGTAATGTGTAATTTCTCTGTTCAGAGCCAGAAAGGCATTACTCTGTATTAAAGTTGACATTCACCAGGCTGCAATCCCGGCCCCCCCACTCAGAGGTCGGAATGACCGCATGCGTGTTGCCAAAATGTCCGGTAAAGGGGTACTTTTTGTGTGACAAAATCCGGCCCGAGAATTGTAAAAAAAGGGGTGTATTTGACTTTTCACCCGGAGATTTCTTTGAAACGGGGGTGTTTTTCTTTTTTTCTCTCATCTCTTTGGACTCCTGAGAAATTATTCCAAATTTAGGGGGGTACATTGAGCATTTTTCCTGATTTAGGGTTGTCTCCAAGGCAGGAAAAGCCTGCGAAAAGCCCGCGAAAGGGGGGTTCGCAAATGTTGGCAGTCCTCAGATAGGGGGTGCTTTCAAAAAGAGGGTACAAGCATATGCGTACCCTAAATAACACTGAGTGGGGAGGCCGGGGCTGCAATCAGATGATTTCATCTTCTTCCTCTGAATTCTTCCATTCTGGTAGATTAAACAAATGAAGGGCATTGTAGGCTATACAAAAAACAAAAGTAAAACCAGGGAAAGTGATTTGTGAACTGGTTAGTCCTTTCCCTACTTCCCTCATCTACTTCATCATCTCCCCCGTCTCCCATCCCCTCCACGTAGACCTGTGATCACTCCTCAACAAAAGTTAAGAAGACAAAACACAAAAACAAGAAGTCAAACAGCAACAATTTATAACACTAAGAAGCAAGTTCCAAGGCAAAGCAAATAAATTAACACGATTCAAGACATGCCAAAATTACAATCAACAACTTCTCTTTCAAACTCTTTCTTCAAAATCAAATTTTGTCATTCCAAATCCAAAAAAGTAAAATTGATTAAAACTTTTAATGAGAAAAAAAATACATCAGGAATTTACCAATAAGCTGATCCAGTTCCCGTGAGGAAAGCATGAAGAAAAGAAGCCATAACGTTGCGCCATTTAAACCGATTCCCACCAGAATATTTTTCAGGAGCGGGAACGTAGTTGAGGGCTTGGTTGTAGCATTGGAAGCCCAGAACTGCCCCGAACAAAGTATACAACACTACCGACCAAACAGCGGGCACTTCGTTCAGTCCGGCCTCGACATGGATCCGTAGATTCGACTCGATTTGATCCATCTTTGTTCTTTTATAATCCTTTAACAAGTTTGATAGGATAACTGACAATGCTTGTCATCAACTTGTGAACATTGTTATTATCGTCGTAGAATATGGCAATAAAGACGGATTTGTTCTCCACGAAAATACAGCCGGATCATGAAGTTGTACAAACGTACAATCGAATGGTACCGTCGATCGGCCGTACCGTATAAATCGGCGCTACAATACGGCCGTGGCCGCGTGTATGTAGAAGTTATATAAAAAAAAAAAGATGTTTGCTACGGGCGACTGATTATTGTGTATGCGGCGTGGTCACGCCCATATTGTTTTGATGTTGTAGAGGCCGCTCCCAACTTGAATGTGGGCTTGAATGTGGGCGATGAAGAGGGGGAGGGGGGGGGGGGGGGGTGAGTGTGCACAAGCAGTGGCGGATCCAGGGGGCACAGGGGGCACGTGCCCCCCCCCCCCCCCCCGGCCAAAAAAAAAAAGAAAAGGAGAAAAAGGAGGGGGAAAGAAAAAGGAGAGGAAAAAGAAAAAAAGGGATAAGAGAAAGAAGAAGAAGAGAGGGAGGAAAGAAAAGGGAGAGAAGAAAAAGGAGGGGAAAGGGAAAGAGAGAGAGGAGAGAAAAGGCGGAAAAAGAAGAAAGGCGGAAAGACAGAGGAGAGAAAAGGGGATGATATTATAAGAAGGTGTTTTTTTTTTACCGGGTAAGGGGCGGGGGGAGGGATGCAATTTTAAGTCGAACATGACTAATACCAAAGATTGTATCTCCTTTATAACTTCTAACTTCTAACTTATAACTTAGTCTTGAATTAATTTTCCGATATTGGGGCCAGACGTTACTCATGAAATGCTGTTTGTGGTCTCCATTGTGTTAGTAGATGCCAGGAAAACATCACTTACGGGGGTTGAATAGCACCCAAAAAAAACGCCTCGCCGCTACGCGGCTCGTGGACAATGCTCTGCATCGTCTTTGGGTCGACCCCCCCTTAAACTGTTACTTGATTTAAAAAGACGTAATTATCATGCACTGCTTTTTATGGTCTTCATTGTGTCAGTAGATGCCAGGAAAACATCACTTACGGGAGTTCAAAATAGCAACAACAACAAATATCGCCTCGCGGCTCGTGGACGATGTTCCGTGTCGTCATTGGGTCAACCCCCCCCCCCCCCCCCTTAGCAAAAAGCCAGATTCCATCATCCGCCCCTGGATCCCTACTCTTTGAGAGGGTAGGAGAAAGCAATTACTCCAGGAAGTGCCTGAAAATGCACCTAATGTGGTTCTAAAATTAAATGCTTACTACTCAGGGAGGGGGTTCTGACCCCCTACCAGACCCACCCCCGCTTGGTCGCTCCGCTCCCTCGCCGCTGACGCCTCACTCCATCGTTTTTCATATATTTCACCCCATGCGATTTTGTGCCCCCCCCCCCCCCCCCCGGTAAGAAATTCCTGGATTCGCCACTGACAAGTTTTGAATTCTTCCCGACCACCTAAAATCATTGTACAATTTTATTTGGTATTTAAGTTTCACTGAAGTTTGGAAAGTGCTGTGACTCGTCGTTAATTGGAACTTTTGGAAGTATTTTTTTAAATGAGAGTGTTATCAAATCATGTTTTAACTCTTTCGTGCAATCGGTTGATGATAAAAAGGCTAAATTTGCCCAACCTTTATTGGTTTTACTCTAGTAAGCTAAAATTGGCTTCTCCTGTATAAAAGTCTCATTACCGTAAATCTGATGATCCCCAGTTCATTTCACCGCATGCAGCTGATACATTTTTTTCTATATATAGCCTTAAAAATTAATGTGAAACGTGTATCGACGTGGAACCAATAGACATAATTAAAAAAAACAAAGCGGCGTGTATGACTAACGTTGAATATATAAACAAACATACGAATACACGAATTGGAATCAATAAACTTGAAACATAATTATAGCGAATTGGAACAAATGAACATTAACATAATAGCGAGTGCGGAACCATTATGAAACATAATTATAGCGAATCGGAACCAATGTACATTATGAAACATAATTGGAACCACTGAAACATTATAGCGAATTGGAACCAATAAGCATTATGGAACCAATACACATTTAGCGAATTGGAACCAATACACATTATGAAACATATCGAATTGGAAGCAATAAACATTATGAAACATATCGAATTGGAACTAATAAACATTATGAAACATAATCGAATTGGAACCAATAAACATTATGAAACATAATAGCGAATTGGAACCAATAAACATTATGAAACATAATTTTATAGCGCATTGGAACCAATAAACATTATGAAACATATCGAATTGGAACCAATACACTTTATGAAACTATATAGCGAATTTTAACCAATAAACATTATGAAACAGCGAATTTGAATCAATAAACATTATGAAATAGCGAATCGGAACCAATAAACATTATGGAAAATAATATAGCGAATTAGAACAAATAAACAATATTCACATAAATATCTTCGTGGGCTTCTTTCTTATATAGTATCAGACAATGTCTTGTAATGCCCATCCATAATAATAGCTCATCATGAAATGATTATGAAAATAATATAAAAGCGACGTGTAACCACATTACATGAAACATTTAATAACGCGTTCAACGCAACTATAGTTTCATAATGTAATTGTTTATTAGTTCCAAGGCGTTATTAAATGTTTCATGTCTTCGATTATTGTAGTGGAGCGGGGTGGGGGGGGGGGGGGGGGGAGGGAGTACCAATTTACTAGAGTTCTCATGCCGAATACCAACTTTCCAGTTTTTGTAATTTTGCTATAGCAAGCGAGCAAAGTGATTATGGTATTAATCCATTTTGCAAATGAGTGTTTCAGTCTTCTTTCATTGTATAGGCCAATTAGCAATTAAGAGGATGTGTAAAGAAACACTCGAACCTGTCTGATGGCGGTTGCTAAAATTGTTATCTTCAAATTATCCAGGAGGAGGGGGCTACAGCAGAGTAATGCATAATTATTATTATGATTTATGAATGACTTTCAATAAGGACTTATTTAAAAAAATAAAAAATAAATCGACTAACATGAATATCATGTCAAAACATATAATATCTCTATGTGTCAAAACGAACTCAGGCCGTAGATGGCGCTTATTCCAAGCGTCGCCAATTTTTCTCGTTTTTCTCGAGAATTCGAACTGCGTAGGTATTTGATAATTTAATTGAATTTGTAGAGATTTTTGTTTGGGAGTGGGGGGGGGGGGGGGTGGGCAAAACTTTTTATAAGTGACTTTTGTTGTTGTTTAGAATCAGTAGATGAGCGTAGGACTTAGCGATACTGGCGCACTGGTGGGTGAGCTCGTGGCGCGGCCCCCCCCCCCCCCCCCCACTCAGTGTTATTTAGGGTACGCATATGCGTGTTCCAACCGACCCCCCCCCCCCTTTTCAGCAAAAGTCCGGTGTGTAAAGTCAATACGGCTCGACCTTTTTCTTTTGTATACGAGCCTTTTTCAGCACCCCCCCCCCCTTTTTTTTCAGCAAAAATCCGGTGTGTAAAGTCAATACGGGTCGACCTTTTTCTTTTGTTACGAAAAGGACATTTTGGCAATACGCATGGGGTCCGTCCGTTCTCGGAGTGGGGGGGGGGGGCGGGGCTCGTGGGGGCTTTTGCCTTCAAAAGTTTGCCGATCAAAAACAAAAAAGGAAAAAGAGATAAAGAAAAGACTGAAGATGAGGGGAAAATGATAATTTTCCATGATTTGTTAAGCCTTAAATAATATTCTCTTGCGATATTAATTTTGTCTACCAACAGGACGGACACTTTCTTCTCATACTCGCCCATGCAAATCCTTTACTCTATAGGTTTATTCATTACCGCGCAATTTCTTTCATAACTGCGGAAAAACATTATTACAAATTTCACGGCAGGCACGGTGAGGTAGTTCAGCGAGCGCGTCTCCCATTAATATTTTAGGCGGATTAACGTCCCCCGTAATATTGAAATTCAAGGAAAGAAAATGAACTGCAAATTCCTATAATATCCTGCCGTTAGGTTCCGAAATGCCCTAGAACATTAAGTTTCATTATTAATATTTTAAAAATCGTCTTGATTGGTCGCTATTTCTGCTCTCTTGCATAATAGGCCTCGCATAATAGTCAAGTTAGAACAAAGTAGAAGAGCTGTATACCATTTTTAGTTAATTGCATGTGCAATGATTCCGGAGTGTCTTTACAAGAACTATATTGAGAGGCATTATACCATTTTACCAAGAAAAAAACGGTTTGGGGACCATATCCCCCTTGCAAGTGTGCTAAGGGGGTGTCCCCCTCCCCCTCGAAATTTGGAAACGTGCCCATGCAACATGAATGATGCACTGTCAAAATATAAGAGGTGAAAATCGGACTGATTTGCCTGTGCGATGAAATTACTTAGTCTAAATGAAAAGTTCCAAATGAGAGCTAGGGTCGATATAATGCAAAATTATTTTACTACACGAAGTGGCGGAGGCACGGACGGGGGGGGGGCAGGTCGAAAATCCCATAGAGACCAATAGAGACCATTAAAAAATTCTATTGGTCTCTAATGGTTTCTGTTGGAGTCTATTGGTTTCTGTTGGACCCATAGAATTGAATCCAATAGAGACCATTTAAACCATCAGAAACCAATAGAAACCAATAGTAGGCCTACCCATAGAAACCAATAGAAATAGAAACCAATAGGACCAATAGGACCAATAGAAACCAATAGGACCAATATAAACCAATAAGACCAATAGAAACCAATAGAACCGATAGGACCAATAGAAACCAATAGGTCCAATAGAAACCAACAGCTAAATCTATCTCATGCATATTCATGATTACTTTATACGTGTTCACAGAAAATTACATTTATCATAATTTGTTAAGCAACTTATGACAATGTACATTAATTTTGTGATTTTTATTTTCGTTCGACAACTAATGACCAATAGATTATTTGTTTAATCATGTTACAATTTCATTCACGTTTAAGCAGTAGATATATATTGATTATAATGATTACTTACCAAGAAACAATTCATGTATGTTTATTATATAGAATAGTACAAGCCTTCAGTTAAAATAAAGGATATTCTTAAACTCACTTCAAGTGATCTATGTGATGGAGTTAATGCAATTGAGATATACTTTTTTGGTGGACAGTTGCTAAAATCGATTTTGATTTATCATTATTCATTTACCAATAGAAGCCATTGGACTATTGGTTTCAATAGGGAATTCAGAATATGGGACCATCAGAAACCCATAGAAAGATCTCTAATGGACCAACAGGCAGGGGCGTCGCTAGACCTTTTTCAGTGGGGGGGGGGGGGTGTAGAGGCCAACAATTACCGACAAAACTAGCCACCAATTACCGACAAAATTAAATGTCCAATATCTACAAATTCAACCCTATAAACGTGGGGCCGAAGGCTAAATTGTTTTTCCTATGGACTATCTATAGTACTTGCATATGCCCAAAATTGTCATTTTCCTCGACGACATAAATATACGAATTATTTCTTCAATTTAGTCAGCATCATAGCTATATATTTTAATGCAGGCGCGGAGCTAGGATCTTATTTTAGGGATGGGCGGTAGTGAACAAGAGATTCACTTTAAAGCGCTTATTAGTGGGGTGTGGGTGATGGGCCTCCCGCGCGAAGCGCGGAAGCTTAGACGTTTCCTTAAATTATCAGGAAAAGAACGTTTTCGACTGGTAATCCATGGCTGTATAAAGTCCCCCCCCCCTCCCGCGCGGAACGCTAAAGCTTTGACGTTTCATTAAATTATTATAAAAAAGAAGACGATTTGCTGTACCGTTCTCGACTGTTTATCCTTTTCGGAATTCAGTCCCCCCCCCCCCCCTCCCGCGCAAAGCGCGGAAGCTTTGTGGTTTCATTAAATCATGAGAAAAAGCAGAGGATTCGGTGTACTGTTCTCGACTCTTAATCCTTGTCTGAATTCAGTTTTTCCCTCTCCCGCGCGAAGCGCGGAAGCTTTGACGTTTCATTAAATTATGAGAAAATGCAGACGATTCGGTGTACTGTTCTCGACTCTTAATGCTTATCTGAATGAAGCTTCCCCCTCCCGCGCAAAGTGCGGAAGTTTTTACGTTTTATTAAATTATTAGAGAAAGAAGACGATTAGTCGTACCGTTTTCGACTCTTATTAAGCCCTATTAATCTGAATTCAGTTCCCCCCTCTCGCGCGAAGGGCGAAAGCTTTGACGTTTCCTCAAATTATTAGAGAAAGAACACGATTCGTTGTACCGTTTTCGACTCTAAATAAGCCCTATTAATTTTGTCTGAATTCAGTTTCCCCCTCTCGCGCGAAGCGCGGAAGCTTTGACGTTTCCTGAAATTATTAGAGAACGAAGACGATTCGTTGTACCGTTCTCGACTCGTCTAAATGAAGTTTCCCCTTCCGCGCGAAGCGCAGAATTTTGGGCGTTTCATCACAATATAAAGAAAGAAAGACGATTCGTCGTACCGTTGTTGACTCTTAAACCTTGTTTGAATTTAGTTTCCCCGAAAATTTTAAACTTCTGATTTCTTTAGCTGATATTATAGGCAAGTGAAACTTCGAGAAAATACAAGTAACTGTTGTAGTCACTCTCGAAGTCGTCAAAGCGGATAAGAAGTCACAGTTCGTAGGGAAAAAAACTTGTCGACCGACCGACAATATACTTCTGCATTGATATAGTACACGAGGATCGAGCAAGAATACCGACACAGCTGACCCGACACAGCAACATATTTACCCGTGTCTTTCTTGCTCCCTCGACGAGACGACTCCACCCAACAACCCCCTCGTCTCTTTTAGTCCCACTCCTCCTCTCTCAGTCTCTTATCTTCCCTCTCTCTCCTCTCTTTCATCCCCCGTTTCTTTTGTTTCCCTTTCACTCTTTTTTCCTTTTCTTTCTTTTCCTTTCTTTCCTCTCCTCTCTCTTTTTCTTTTTTCTCTTTCTTTCTTCTCTTTTCTTCCTTTCTTTTCCTTTCTTTCCTTTCTTTTCCTTTCTTTCTTTTCTTTTCTTTTCCTTTTCTTTTTTTCTTTTCTTTCCCTTTCCCTCTCTTTTTTTCCCTCTCTTTTTTCCCTCTCTTTTTTCCCCTCCCCCTTTTCTCTTTTCCCGACGGCAGCGCAATTTTACCGACAATATCCTGACAGGTGGGGGGTGTCGCACCCCCCCACACCCCCCCCTTTGGCGACGCCCCTGCCAACAGGAACCCATAGAAAATATCTAATGGACCAACAGAAACCCATCATAGAAGAAAATATCTTATGGACCAACAGAAACCCATAGAAGACATTGGTGGATGCTGGTCCAATAGAAGCTTTCGGTTGGTCCATCAGCATTTCTTTCTGTGGGTTTTTGTTGGTCCAATAGATATTTTCTAATGGTTTCTGTGGGTCCATCATTTCACTTTCCTTATTGAAACCATTAGACACCAATAGTTCTAATGGTTTCTGATGGTCCAATAGGATCGGATCCTAATGGAATTTTGACCTGGGGGGGGGGGGGGGGCGGATTGATACCGGAGGCGTTTTATCATGTTTTCATATTAGGCCTACTTTAAGTTAGGACATGTTCCAATTCTTACTGACAGCCCCATCAAAGAATGTTTGGCTCGTTTCGCCACATGCCCTATCCAATTTTAAGGGGCAATGGCCCCTAGATTTTTTGTGGTATATATATATATACAATTGGTAATGTAGATTTACAATTTTAATTGTTGGTGAAAATGATTTATGGCACATACCCCCTTCCCATCGATTCACGCCTGCCACTTCAGTGCAGACATACCTCAACCCCTTTTGTTTCTTCTTCTTCCTATATACTTCAGTTCAGAAAGAAAACAAACGAACCAAAATTAATATACAAACAAAATTATCACGACCGAAAACACAATTTTCACTTAACTGAGTAGTACTTGACTTCTCGCAAAGCACGAGATTTTAGTAACGGGGAAAGCCGAGCGTTTGTGTTTCCTCGTTTGCTAGCGGTTAATTTTTCTTTTGCGGAGGAAGAAAGTGAACACGGAATGTTTGATTTATTACAATGAAGAACTTAAATGGAAAGGTAAGAAAACAGTGTATAAGTGTAACTTGAATAAAAACATATTCATATAGAAAGCCTTCTCTTGAATTGTAATAAACCAGACCAGGCCAGGCCAACCGGCCAGGCAGTGTAAGACAGTGGCACTGAGCTGTGAAGTGTGACTACTCACTGTGAGTGTAATACCCCATTCACAGTGGTTTTGAAATTTGTAGCGGCGTTGTAGCGGAGCGGCGACACCGCCATAACACCGCTACAAATGCATTCACAGTAGAAAAGTTATCCCGCTGCAGCAGCGGGATAAATATCATGTACCCATTCACGCTGCAGCGGGTGATTTTTATTACCTCCGTAACAAACACGTGTATGCATGGCTCATGACCCGCGAGTGACCCCGATATGACCGGAAATACTTCAGCGCGGGGTTTTATCATATTACTTTTTAAAAAAACTAGACCCCTCTAGCATTTTTATTGCTTCCAGTCAGAATATTTTAATTTTTTGAAGTGTGAAATATTATTATTTGGATAATTATAATATCTACATAATAATAAAATTAATTTGAATCCACTGGTTACTTTATTTCTATTTCACTTTATGTTCCCCATTGCTGGAGAAAAGAGGTCAGTGATAGGTAAGTAAACAAATCACACGTGTTTGTCGCGGTGTTATAGCGGAGAGCCTTCACACTGAATAAACACCGCGACAGCAGCGGGACTGTCCCGCTGCTGTAGCTAGGCGAACCTAGCGATAGTTTGTCGCGGCGTTATCGCGAGGCGGTGTTATCCCGCGATAGTTTATAACGGGTCCGAGCCTTCACACTGAAGACAACACCGCGACAGCAGCGGGACAGTCCCGCTGCTGTCGCGGTGTTTGAGGCCACTGTGAATGGGGTATAAGTGTCTCGGCTCGGCTCAGTTGCAGTGTGTCCACACCCGCACACGCATTACAGCATGTACTTTTAGTTTTACTAGAAGTCTAGTCTATCTAGACTATTATTGCAATATTTGTTCTTGTGAATGTGTGGCTGTGAGGTGTTTTGAGAAAAAGAGTTTCATGAAATATTGTAATTAGATCTATTTATAATATTATATCAGCACTGACAACAGAAGGGGCACTGCTCCGAGAATAAGGATCGTCCGCAGAATCAGAAACAAGGATCCTGTTCGTATTAAAAGCGGACAGATGCGTCCGCATTTTCAAAAAACTTTCATATTTCTGATCCGCGCATTTTACATGTTTACATTTGTACAGGGACTCTTACGATATGACCAATACAACCTCAAGAAGACGGACAAAATTAAAAGGTAGACCGGGAACTGGGGTTATTTTCTTATGCCGCTTACGCGTAATCCGTTCTTCGCATCACTAGCGTGCGGTTTGGGAACCCGAAACCTGCAGAGCGCCGATTAAAAAAAACGTCAGCGAAAATGAGGACGATCTTTATTTTTGAGTTTGAGTTTTTCAATTTGTCTGCGTTTACGAAGATAATGTACCGTAACGCCTTGTTTAGGCGGACGATCCTCATTCTCGGACGAGCTGATCAGTAGGGCTTAAGCGATGCGAAAAACGGATTCCACGTACCGGTAATAAAATACCCCCAATCACCATCTACTTTTATGGGTTGTCCGTCTTCCCACAGATTAATTGCTCATAACGTGAAAGTCTCTGTACAAAGTCAATGTAAATTGCATCAAGGAAATCATCGCGGAATCACTTTTTTGCACCTCCAATGCGCGTACCAGTAATAAGAATCATCAGCGAAAATGTGGACAATCCTTGTTTTTGCGGACGCGTCTGTCCCCGTTTACGAAGACAATCGTCGTTTGTGCTGACAATTCTTATTCGAGGACCAGTGCCCCTAATGAATAACATTAGTAACATGCGATTTATAGTTATAGACTACTAGTACTTACAAAAAACTCTGACCTCTCACTAGATTCGCTGAATTCAGCAAACTCCCCTAGACTTTGAATACTTAAAGGTACTATGTCCCTTTTGCAGACAACCTCAAATTCTGTAGAACTTTGCAGGAATTATGATGTCATGTACATGTATGTCCTATCTGTAAAATTTAAACGCTAGCAGTGTCCTAATATTCAAATTATGCAAGGAAACCCGTTTTCTTATTAGACTTCACCGTCAGACACTATTGAGTGACTAACTGGCTTTTTCTTCTTTGGTAATAACATACATAACATGAGCCGTAAAGGATTTGTCTACATCAATAACCCACTTCTTGTAATGGCTAAAATCAAACTGATTGAATCTTTGCGCAGCATAAAACATACGACCATGCGGTACAATGGTCTGAAAATCAAGACTATTACTTATTGGCTCTATAGCTCCCAAGTCGTTTGACAACTAATAGTCGTTATTTTCCCACTTAAAGACATTTTCAAGTCCTCTTTTTTTAAGGGGAGTTCTAAATTAGTATTATCTTTCAAATGCCATTGGAATTTAACCTTTTCATTTTTTCATTGGCCCGTGGTTTACATTACAAAAACAAAATAATTTTATTTTAGTCATTTCAACATTTTGATAAAAATGTATTTTTCTTATTTTCAGTGGCCTGAAAAGTACTCTCCCTTGTGACTTATTTCCTTTTCTTCATCATCATAGGTGATTTCTGAAACACTATAAGTCATGGATACTGAAAGTGATATTCCGGCTGCTACTATGTCATCCCCTGTGCAAGAGGAGGACCCTACAAATCATAATGAAGGAGGAGGTGCAATAGAGAACAGACTACATTCTGCATCAGAAGATCATGAACATAAAGCAGATCCTTTAAATGGAGACCATGGTTCTCCGGGTTCTGACAGGGGAAGGGGCTCGAGGTCACGATCTGGAAGCAAGTCACCTGGGTCCCCTTCCTCACCCATGGTAAAAGATGGTAACGGTGTTGATAAAAAGAAGCGGATCGACAAATCGCACTCCAGAAGCCGGTCAAGGTCACGGTCATTCTCGCCACGACGAAAGAAACACTCCAGGTCCCGCACTCCCAAAAGGAAGAAACGTTCACGCTCTCGGTCGCCGAAGCGAAGGAGACGATCTCGTTCGAGGAGTCCGAAGCGGCGGTCAAGGTCAAGGTCACCGTCACGCAGCAGCAAGCGAAGATCCCGCTCTAGGACACCACGGAAGAAACGGAGGTCGCGCTCGCCCCGGAAGAAGTCCCGATCTCCAAGAAGGCGGCATTCAAGATCGCCCTCTCCTGGAAAGAGGCGTAAAAGGTCACATACTCCAAAGAAGAAGAAGAGGTCACGATCCAGATCTCATTCCAAAGAGAAGAGAAGAGCTAGAAGTAGGAGTAAAGGTAAGCAAGCTTAGTACTGCTTTATAATATTAAGAAGATGTTGGGTTCTGGGAAAGGTGAAAAATAACTTGTGAGTCTTTTCATGTTAGTGTGGAAGAATGTGAGAAAAATGTCCCCTGAAAAGGATTTCTTTTCAAATGCTCCCATCTTTGAAATACGACGAGTAACAGCTGGACCACACCTTTCATGTCACATATTTGAGTACCGGTAGTCCCATACATGTATAAACACTTCAGTGTACAGTGCTTGTGACTGTAAGCAAGATTGGACTCTTTCTTATCAGTTTAATGATTCCAAACCCTCACAATATTAGGTGACATAAAAATTCTTTCATTCCCTTCCACGCAGTTTCTTTTACACTGAAATTACTTAACACAAATGCTCCGCCAAAAATTGTTCTGTAACCAGTGTGACACATAACAGAACTTCTAACTTCAACCCTGAACCCAAGACCTAAACCTGACCCTAAACCTAGACCAAACCTTAGCCCTTTCTGTTTGACGAAATAAAACCTGAGCAATTATCGCCAGAGTGAATATAAGTTCACCAAGATAATTTAGTTCTAGTGATTTACGTCGTTGAAAAGCCATACGTCTTTTAAGAGCATGCTTGTTCGAAGAGGAGACATGTTGTTCAAACCTCTGCAACCAGTCATGGATTTTGGCCACAATGATGGGTGATATTTCATTTCATTTTCATTTTTATCAGCCGTTGTCAATCCACTGCAGGATGAAGGCCTCAGCATGATGTTTCCAAATGCCTCTGATATTAGTTCTTTAATATCCTCCAGTTCATGATTTACTTCACTTCACTGTCCATAATCTCTTCCTTGACATGTTAAAACATGTATTTTTTAAAAACTGTTTACTGTTATCATAGCCACGTTACTGCTACGTATGATTGCTCTGATGTTATCAAGTTTCTGTTTGGTGTTTTCCCCTATTTTTGTCCAGATCGTCGCAGAAATAAACGGAAAACAAGTTATCGCAGTCGAAGTAGAAGCCATTCCACCAGCAAGAGCAGAAGTCCCTCTCAGGTAGGAAAGTGATGAAACAAATGTTTCATTAGGTACCGTTGTAATCGTCACCCTGTTCATTCATTGGCTTGATTTTATTTATTTACCATTTGATTGTGATTTTTGTCAACCCATTATTGGTGTAGGGATGCATATTAATTATTTACGAACAATAGCATCTTAGTGGCTGATGAACAAAGGAAATGTAGGTTGAACAAAATAGTATTAAAAAGGAATGCTTGGAAATATTGACAAAATATTAGGCACAAGACACTTCAAGATCTTAACTAGAACTCTCATTTTCCCTTAGTCCATGTATCTCTTTTTAAACGAGGTACATGTACATGTAAGCATGTTGCAGTGGGCTCTTTTATGCATGCATCTCAAATATAAGAGGGAGGGGTAGGGGGTGGTGAACACATTACAACACAACACTGAAATATAATCAAGAACATCACACAATATGTTTTTAAAATGTACATCTCAGATACACCTCACATCAACATCCTTGACATAGTCTGTGTCAAAAGAAGCCAAGTCTTATAGAAAAGTGGTAGTAATGTGCTTTGCCGTACCCAAAACCAATTGTGCATTCAGCCCGATGATAAACGTCAAGAGAGTGTTGCTGATGAGCCAGCGGGCCGGCCTTGGCTCCTTGGAAGAGAGCCATAGCAGTACCACCTACAACTCTTCCTCCTACCACTTCTACAATGGTGCCAGAACCACCCGTAGGTTCTGACACGGAACATGTCGGTGCAAGCAAGGTGAATATCTGGGGCAAATTACCGATGGGGTGTCTGACTGTCTGTAATATTGAAGCTTTTTGGGTAAGGGCATTGTTGTCAGAGTAGATTGTATGTTACCCTTGCCTTCATAGTTCGTAGGGTGCCACTTTGTTGATAGTACATTTGCGTTGACTCTATGGTGTTTTTTTTTAAAGGTTGCTGGTTGTAAACATAAAGTCTTGTATGTACATGTACTGTACGTAAGGGTCTATGTCCAATCAGTTTCATCAAACCCTAATCAGGCCAGGGGGCCACTATGGCCCCCCCCCCCCCTTCACGATTTTTCTGATTGTTTTCGGGTAACGCGTAAGGATGACGCCCCGCTGCTAGGTGACTTTTTTCTTTCGAGTCTTGCACATCTTTAGAAACAATTTTTGTTTACATTGGACCTATCGTTAAAAAGTCAAGTGACCTATTGTCTTTGCATGTCAGCCCAAAAATCGCTCATTTTTGTGATTTGTGTATCAAACATATAGAATGCCCGCCTCAAATACCAGCCTTCCTTTAGGGTTTACCAAATTAAGGCACACATTTTAAAGTATTACCTGTACATGATGGATATTCTATTCTATAAGTACATGTATAACCAGCAGCCTTATGGTATCATCTGATGAATATGACTGTATTCATTTAGAGCTTAATCGATCTTTCTTCCAGGAGTGGCTTACTTTGAAACCGAAGCTCTTGTATCTCACAATCATGTTATATTCTCTTCTACAGTGACCTATTAGATGATCATATTGTTGTTTTATTCCTTTCTATTTTCCAAACCAATAAGATACCAATAAAACCTGCAGATTCTGGTTTTAAAATCGTATCTTCAATTTTAAAACCAGAATCTGCAGGAATCATTATATAACTCCTCAATTATTAGTATTGTACCAATGTTCTTTTTGCTAGTAGATGTAGCTTTGGTATTTGTATGATAATTTTTTTTAAAACAAACATTAGAATGTTTAATTTTCGAAAAGTGGAGAATTATATATTATATATACATGTACACTAGGCTTGCAGGTGCACCATGTGAGAGAGAGAGAGAGAGAGAGAGGGTTGACGAGTCTGACTCGGTAATCTTTCTTGGGGGTGTGTAGTCCTGAAAAGGACTGTTTGTTATCTTTCTTAGCTTATAGTTCTAAGGAGAACTATAGCGCTTGGAGAGGATGAGTGGCTCGGAGTTTCGAACAGGTTGACTATCGGTCGTCAGGAGTGACGACGGACGACAGATGGTCAACCTGTTCGAAACGTCGAGCCACTCATCCTCTCCAAGCGCTATACATGTAGTTCTCCTTAGAACTATAAGCTAAGAAAGATAACAAACAGTCCTTTTCAGGACTACACACCCCCAAGAAAGGACTCCTCAACCCTCTCTCTCTCTCTCACATGGTGCACCCGCAAGCCTTCTGTATATTTACAGTACACCACCATGCAAGCCGACACTTACAAGCAGTATATATTATATGTAAGTGAAAATGCATAAGGTGGCAATAATTTATTTCGGTGCTAGTTATTGCAATTATTCAGAGTAGAATAATTGTATTTTTTGCTCCATGATGACATAAAAACCTAAAGATCTGAAACATATTTGGCTTCAGACAGTAGCTTTTTGGTGCTTAGGCTTTTAGGAATAACATGATTGTAATTGTCTGTCAGCAGTTAATTTAGATCATAAATTTGGGATACTGTGTGCCCCTTATTTTCAATCGTAGTTGTGCCTTTAATTCCTCCCTTGGAAGGGTTTAGGATGGGAAAAATGTATATTTCTCCTCATTTAAATAATAGAGTGGAAAAAGCACTTCTATCACACTGATTTATACATGTAGAACCACAGGTAAAATCTTTGTAGTTTTTTTTGTTGCTGTTGTTGTCAACTGCTGATCATTTGAACCTGAGGTCAAATCAAATCACAAAAATAATTTGAATTTTAGTTCTTTAAAAAAAAATCTGAATTTTGTCCATCCCATATTAATAATGATAAAGTTGTGTTATCACTTCATTTTCCTTCAATGTCAACCATTTGTCCGTAGTGCTACAGATTACATATGGGAAACGTGTCAGAATAAATACTGCATTGATCTCTTGAGAATTTTTAGGTAGCGACATACCCACATGTAGGAGACTGGGAGTGGAGTTACCCTCTAATATTTTTTTTGATTACACCGTACCTAATTTGGTAGAGGTACATGTAGACCGAATCAATGTAGACATTTTCATGTTTTGTATGTTAAATGTTTTGATTAGGGATAGGTTTGCTTGCTATGCCTCTGCTTTGAAAATCATACAACTTTTATTTATGAAATTTTGCAAGATTTTTAGATTCATGTTTTATGTTTAAAAATATTTAAATCGTACCATAAAAAAGTAACTTCCAATTTGTGATTTTGTTAAAAGTTTTTACAGCAGGAACATCCATCATGAACATTTTCCAGTAGTTTCTATTTATAAAGTTTAGTGTGTTTTATCTATTTGTGTGTTATTGTACATGTAAGTGGATGTGACCAAAGTTTGCATACAGTTACATGTACTGTACATGTACAGCCCAATGATGAATCAATGTCATCCAAGAAGTCGTGTTCTGTGATAACGCTAACACTTTTTGTTGGCTTATCCCTTCAAAATAGCGCCCTCTTTCCCCACAGATCAAGTCACGCCACTCCCGCAGCCCGAGCTCCTCATCCGGAGACGAAAGCGGAGCAGAGAAAAGGACATCCTCTCCTGCTAAAGCTAGCAAGCGGCGCTCATCTACCTACAAGAAGAAGAAGAAAAGGACAAGGTCGATATCAAGGTCGCGGTCAAGGTCAAAGGAAAGACGCAGGAGGCGGAGCAGGTCGAGGGAGAAGAGAAGGAAATCCCCTGCAAGGTCACGAAGGTCACGATCCCACTCAAGGTCAAAGAGGAGGTCGCCACCTCGCCGCAGGACAAGGTGAGAGAGAGAGAGAGAGAGAGAGTGGTGAGGGGGAGGGGGACCAGACATTAGCTCCATCGACATAAAATTGCTAGACCTGGACTTTAAATTTGTCAAAGATATAGGCTAAGGTTTACATCGAGTAGTCTCTTCTTGAGAGGACATGTTATGCATAAACATTATGCAAATCAATAAACATTGAAATGTGCAGATTAAGATGTGTTTGGGCACGAAACGTGATTGCGAAATGCTGACATAGTCTCTTTTCCTTGAAATGCTTTCTCTAAATTCGTTGCTCATTACAATAGACCTAATTTTAAGGAAGCCAGATTTACTTGATTGGAAAATGCTAAAGGAATTAAGGTTACTTCAATTTAATCTTTCATTGACAATGATGATATATTCTCCTGAAACAACAGGTCCAGGACTCCTCCGAGACGTCGTCGATCACCCGGTAGAAAGTCGCACAGACGTCGGTCTCGCAGCCGATCTCCCGTGAAGCATCGTCGGAAGTCATACTCGTCGTCGGACAGCGACACGGCGATGAACGCCCAAGAGCAGCTCTCCAGGAGACTGGAACGTGCCAAGCAACTACAGGACGAGAGAGAGAAGAGAGAGAAGGAGCAGAAGAAGAAAGAACTGAAGGAGGAGGAAGAGGAGGAGAAGGTGGAAGATAAGATACCTTCTGCTCAGAAAGGTACGTTTTTCTTGAAGTCTTTGAGAAGGTTGAGTTCTGACAAAGGGATCTGGTAACTTTGTCTCAGATCCTTAAACAAAATCCTTGATTTAGCTCATGCTGCAATCATAATTATAAACCTTTAGGTCAGTCAGAAACTCCATGACTTTTACAAGCCGATCGCCTGTCTGATTATCAAAATATCTATGATTGGAAATCGAAATCAAATTTTACGTTTTCCTAAAGGTTTTCATAACACTACAGTCTATTGGGGGAAAACGAGTATGGTCAAACCGGTCACTCAAAGGGTTTTACTTGTTTGAGGCACTTCTTGATCATTTTGAAGCGCAGTTTTTGTTTTGGCTTCAATAATACACCATATTACAGACACTGATAACACATAGGGCCGTGCATTTTAGATTTAACATTGTTAAACGATGCCTTTAAGAACGCAATTAACTATTTGAAGATTCAGATAATCCCTTTGCAATTCTTTTAGCACAGAAGTGATTTAAGAATTGTACTAAAAGAAATAAACAAGCTGATTTTTAGCCAAGTTGTAATAACTAAAGTATATTATATTTATGATCTTGTCTTTGTGATGTTTTTTCCAGCAGCAGCAGCAATAGCAGCAGCTCTGAATGCTGCTGCTAACCCTGTAGCTCTGGCAGCTGCCTCCACTGTCAACCCTCAGATAGCTCTACAGGCAGCAGCTGCTGCTGTACATGCTCAGGTAAGAAGCACAGTAATCTAGAACTTTTCAAGACTAAAGCCTTGTTCAGATATTGTTTGTTTGTTTGATTGATTTTATTTCTGCGTTCAAAAATATACAAATTCAAAGTCAAAGTACAAAATTTCGATATGCATATGGCAATTATATAGTTAACTAGATTGATGGCACACATTTTAAGCATTCTAATTAACATTATTTACGTTTGTTATGTTTTGTGTAGGTTCTTGCTCAGACAGGTATAGCCGTGCCAAACTTCTACAACCCAATGGCTGTCAACCCCGTCCACTATGCAGAGCAGGAGAAGAAAAGAAAACAACTCTGGGCTAAGAAGCCAGAAGCGGTAAGAAAAAAGATATGATAATAACAAAACTCTGTTCTTGTATCATGCATATCACTTAACGATATAATGTCTCTATGGACTTCCAAAGGACTTTAGAAAGTGTAACCCTGGCTTTCGCTCCTGGCAACCTCAGCACTTAGTGTCTTCAAAGAATGATTCACACCAGGTGTTTCTTACATTTGGGTCAAATATGGCAAATTCATATTAATTTCTTGCCAAAGGACGATTGGTGCTGCAGCAGGGATTTGAACCCTGTACCTTGTGGTTCGCAGTCCAGAGACTTATCGAGTAGACCAATGATGTGCTCAGATTTAGGAACATTCAAATTCATGTTAGACACATCTACAATTGTAAACCAGCATGCACTCAGTAAATGAAATTATAAAGCAATCATTGAGTGTGAAGGAAAATGTTATAGTTGTGTATCAAAAGTTGATTGAAGACCAAGACCGCTTATTTCATCCTATTTCAATCCAATAAATCATATTTTGACATGATACACCCATTTTGACTTCTGCTACGGCAAGCACGAGGGTTGGGAGCTGGTAGAGTTTTAAACTTGGCAATAGGGCTGTACACTCCAACATGAGATCAAGCTGCCCTGCACTTGCACATGATACAGTAGTTCCTGGGTTTAAGTCTTTTTTTATGCTTACGTCCTTGGACAAAGATGGTTTGCCCACATTTGTTTCTCTTGTCCTGGGTGCATTGGATGGTTGCCTGGCCAATTTTTGAGGTTATAATAATAGGAAGAGTAGTGTTAATACTGATCAGGCCGTCTAAGTGAACTATTTGTCTTGATTGCACTGTGAACCAGTATATAAAGACCTCTCAAGTAGACAAGATAAGATCTTAATAGGCTGGATTTTAATGTACCGGTTTCTAAAGTACATGCTTTAATGTGAAAAACTGTTCAAGGGAAATGAGCAGTATGTTCTCTAAAACAGTTGGTATTTACAGTATATACAGGTGGTTGCTGAAGCAGGTCTCACTGTGTCAACTCACTCCTTACGTGGAACTGTCGCTTCCTGTATTATTATTAAGCCTATGGGAATATGATACACTGTAAGTCAGTAGCCAATGGGTTAAACAAACCGATTTCATTTGTTGTTTCCTTGCAGAAAACTGAGAATGCACCTTCAAGCAACAACTGGGAGAAGACATCATTTGGTGATACAGCTACCCAGGACAAGTTTAGACGCCTCATGGGTATCAAAGGTGCTGCAGCACAAGCAACAGGTAAGATCAACATCATCCAGAAGGTTTCTTAGACCTGTCTCTACCTGCCTATGAAAGTGTAGAATATTTGTGTGAAGTTACTGGACAGTTAATTGCTGTTTCAGAGATGCAAACCAGTACGATTAAATCATATTTAGTACGATAATAAGAGTGAAATACGATATCACCTCTTAAAATTTTTCATCTTTAACAAATTAAAAAAAAAAAAATTAAAACCAATCAAAAAAGCGGAACCGCATAGAAACATCTACAAGTAAACCCCTGCAACCCCAACAAAAACTTTGCTTTACAATTTTCTCATTAAATTTTAATGAAAGAGGGCAGGTCCAAGCTATTTGGATTGTGACGTACGGGACATTTAGAGACTTTAAACAAGAAATAACAACAGATGAAATTATTTATATGGCTATCTTTTGGTATGAGTCTGTGGCTATTATGGGCTAGTTCATTTGTGGAAAGTTTTAGTTCTGACCAATTTTTAATTAATTTTAAATGTAATTAATGTGCTGCGTGACGTACGGGACCACAGCGTCCCGTACGTCATGCAGCACATCTTAGTCTTGGTGAAACCCCCCCCCCTCCCCCCTTGACAGTTATGGGGCAGTGCTACTGGTGCCCTAGAAGGTAGCTCCTACTAATGTTGATGTTCCTGTTGATGAATTTGTTATTGTTGTAGTAATGCCTACTAAAAAGCTACAATGACTGATCTTAATTCTGTAATATTCCTCTTTATTCTTTCTTTAGCTGATGGCAATGAGGGCACCAACTTAATGGATCAGTTAGATCACGACTATCAGACAGCTCGCATCAAGACACATACCCAACGTAGCTTTGGTCTAGGGTTTGGGTCCCTCTACTCTATGCCAACACAGCAAGTAGCTGCACCTTCTACTGCAACGTCCAGCAATGATCCAACCAAGAAAGAGTGATTCAAATTTTTGAATGAGCTTTTGTTTAGGCTTTACAACTGTAGGACCTGCATAGTACTTGCCAGAGACGTCTGAATGGCCAATCCTGGTTTGAGATGGGCACAGTATGGCCAATATTGCTTTGTTGGCCAAGCACAAAATAAAAGAATTTCTGACCAACTAATACCACATTGGCAAAACTTTGTTTAATGGTGGCTCTGGTAGTTTCACCTACTAAAGCTACATCTGGTACAGATCTACCCCCAAAGTGTGATCCAATATTCTGTGGCTGTTGTACATGGTTATGGCGCATGTTCATTTGATCTTAATTTCTTTAAAAATAACAGATGTTGGTTCCATCAAAATTGCTGCATTCTTTTGAAAGACTTTTATTTTTGTCGTGTAATACTTAGAACCATACTGCAGTTTGATAAACACTGATTGCCTATTGAGGGCAAAGCAGAACTTATTGACTCCCTGTTAAAGGATGTGAGTTATACCCTTCTGCTTTTCAGTAGACATGATATTCAATCAGAATGGATGATCATTGAAGACTAGGTTTTGCTCAACCTTTTCAATGTACAGATGCCAAGGTTGGGTCTCAAGTCACCTTGTAAATATTGAAAAATTACTCTTCTGTTTTGTAATTTCATGAATTCTACTGCTGTACATATGAAGGTCATTTTTATGAAACATTTACTCTTTGCAGTCACAGCTCACAACATTAATTTTCTTTATTGTTTTCATATTGTACTTGTCATTAACCAAAAACAAGCCGGAAATTAATGAAAATACACAGTAATTTTTTAATGCTTAAACTTATGAATGTTTCTTAGAAGCCTATTTCCTGTACAGATGGGAGAGGCTATCCTATATTGACATTTTGGAAGCATGATACTGCACAGTATTGTATATAGATCATAATGGGCAAAAAACAACATCAAAAGAAAGAAAACGATCACAAACCAAGTGAGCAATCATTTGCAACTTTGTAGTTATCTGAAGTGAAGTGATAAATCTATTTAAACAAAGCATGTGATCAAATGCTTGCAAACATATATATCTAAATATATATATATGTACACGTATATATGGATTAGATTCACATATAGTTTGTTTCTGAGAACAACATACCACCATATTTTGTTTTTATTTCCACTCTTGTTTGAACACCATTACCTGTAGAACAGTTTCACGTTATCACATTAGGAAAGTAATGCCATTTATACAACATTGTAAGCTTATTGACACATTTTTTTGTGTGTTACCTATTAATAATGTGTAAAAGGTGTGTATGATTACCGGTAATCAAGATAAATGGTCAACTTTGTAAGGCCAGAGAGTCTTTCTGTAAGCTTGGAGTCCAATCTATGCTTAAGCAACTTCATTGAATTGACATTTAATATGGTGACATTTGCTCAAGGCTCTATGTCAAAGATTTGGATTATGTTTAGGATTGCACTTAAACAAAAAAAACTTAGCAGTAAGCGTGAAATTTCAAAAGACTATTAGTTGGAATGATGGGGTACATTGAATCATATGAATGCAGCTCCATCACTCATCTTGTGGATTTTATTATGCCATTGTTTGATTATTTTATGTTAAAACTTTTTATCCTGTCATTTGTAAAAGGGTTCTTGATTTCAGTCATAGAAAACAAATTCTTGAGATTTCTTACTTGCTAATATTTGTACATAACAAAATTCAGCATGCTTTTTACTTTAATGCAATTGTACCATGTGTTAAAATTAATTTTGATTTTTACTTGTTTTGATTGCTGTAGGAAATGGTCCTGTTGAACCCTTTTCCCTTTTAATAAGCATCTATTTCTTTAAGTTGTACATACACAATGCAGTTTTATTTCATATTTTGCCAAATTTCTGATGACTCGGACTGAGAAGAGAATGTGTGGTTTGTAAATAATTGATCATTTAGTAGTTCATGTTAACCAATCAACCCAACCACTTATTTTATGTTCATTTTACATTGTCCTTGTTGATTACACTTGTAACCTTCAGATTTTGTTGGATGCTCCCTGTTAAGAACTTATCAAATATATTTGCTGCACTGCTAATATTTCATGAAAATATTATGAGAAGTAAAAAATAGAGATGGAAAGAAAAGTTGTTGAGCATTTCGAAAATGTGTGTGTTGTTAGTGACATGTGATTATATTATCAACAAAAAGTAAAATCATAGCACTACTGCAATGTACATGTTATTTCAGAGTTTTAGAAAGACTTTCTAAACATGAAGTACATGTCTTTTCAACCAGGTAGGAAATTGGGTGAGTTCTAAGGTGGATTCTTGAGCACATAATTACCTTTAGATGTATGTGTTTTCTCCTCTTATAGTTCTTTGATTGAAAAGAAGCAAAGTTGATTTTGTGTTGTTAAGTGGCAAGGGATTATATTATTAACAAAACTTAAAATCACAGCACTACTGCAATTGACAGTACATGTAACCTCAACATTTTAAAATCACTTTCTAAACATGCTGTACATGTACTTCGAATTAGGTATGAAATGGGATGAAATCTTAGATGGATTCTTTATAATTACATGATGTGTTTTCTCCTCTCATAATTTTTTGCTTGAATAGCAATTGTAGTGGTCTCACAAGACCACAATTCAAGTTATGTGAGCCTTGGAATTTGATTTGGATTTTCTGAGTGGGTTTTTAAGAAATTATTATTGTAGTATTTTTTAGTGACCTCAAAATCATTGAGCCGCGTTTGAATTAAAAAGACTGCTTACTCGTTGGATCTTTTCTTATAACCTTTGGGCTTTGAATAGCTGTATTAAAAACTTTCATTGAGATGAAATTCTGCAGAATTACAAAACGTGCGATGTTTTTTGTTTTGTATTCTTTTTGCATGATTTTCATCTGCCATAACATACACTTTTGTCAAGAAATGGCAAATTTTTGAGGGAGAATTAAGCACAGATTGGGAAAAGACAGGGAGAGAGAGATCGAGAGAGAAAGTGTGTGTGTGTGTGTGTGTGCGTAAGAGAGAGAGAGAGAGAGAGAGAGAGAGAGAGAGAGGAAGGGAGAGTGTGTGTGAAAGAGAGAAGGGGAGAAACATGGGCCAGAAAAAAAATCGATTAAAAGGGAAAAAATAATAGAGAACATAAGAGAGAGGGATACAGTGGAGTGTGTGTGTGGGGGGGGGGGGGCATTATATGAGAGCAATGCATCCGAATCGTGCCTAACAACGGTTCCAGCTTTACAAAATAAATGTTGATGATGCCCTAACATACAAGAAGCTACGATCCAAGACCAGGGGCGTCGCTAGACCTTTTTCAGTGGGGGTGGGGGGGGGGGTGTAGAGGCCAACGATTACCGACAAAACTAGCCACCAATTACCGACAAAATTAAATGTCCCAATATCTACAAATTTAACCCTATAAACCCGGGGCCGAAGGTTAAATTGTTATTCTTATGGACTATCTATAGTACTTGCGTATGCGCAAATGAGTATTTTCCTCGACGACATCACTATACGAATTATTTCGTCAACTTAGTCAACATCATAGCTATATATAAAGAGCGCGTGAAGCGCGCTCATTAGGGTGGTGTCGGTGTTACTGTTAGGCCTCTGTTAAGCTTAGACGTTTCCTTAAATTATTAGGATAAGTAGATGATTTATTGTACCGTTCTCGATGTTAATCCTTGTCTTAATTCAGTTTCTTCCCCTCCCGCGCAAAGCGAGGAAGCTTTGACGTTTCATTAAATTGTGAGAAAAAGCAGACGATTCCGTGTTCTGTTCTCGACTCTTAATCCTTACCTGAATTCAGTTCTCCCCCTCCCGCGCGAAGCCAGGGGCGGATCTAGCTTTTTGCTAAGGGGGGGGGGGGTTGACCAATAATGACGATGCGGAGCATCGTCCACGAGCCGCAAAGCGGCGAGCCGATTTTTTTAGGGGTGTTTATTTGAACCCCGTAAGTGATGTTTTCCTGGCATCTATTAACACAATGGAGACCATAAAAAGCAGTGCATGATAACGTCTTTTTAAATCAAGTAACAGTTGAATACACAGTTATATCCAGAGTTATCATGTGTTTGGTTAAGTTACCAGATGAGTTGAATATCTTTTCACAATATTTGCACTTGAAAGGGTTTCTCTCCAGCGTGCGTTCTTTTTTCTTTCTTTTTTTCTTTTTGTTTCTTCTTTTTTCCCCCTTTTTTTGTTTTGTTTTTTGGGCCGCCCAAGGGGGGGTCTGTTTGCTTCCATATTGCTTGTCACTACACTCAGACCAGACTGATAAAAAAGTGAGCAACTTGAACAAGTAATCCAGGAAATGAGCAGCCCAGCTCAGCGTGCGTTGCCAGGTTAAATCTTCACAAAATCCCCACCCAAACGACACTTAAAATATCCCCAAAGTTGCCAAATTTTAATGTGGGGATTTTGGGGATGAGAATCGGCAACGCTGGCCTAGCTTGTCACTTCGGCGGTGGCCCGTGTCCTCAAAAAAGCTGATGGGGGGGGGGGGGTGGCAAGGGACTCTGTGACATTTGTTCGCCCAACCCCCCCCCCCCCCCCTCCCCCCAAAAATAAATAATAATAATAATAATAATAATAATAATAATAATAATAATAATAATAAATGAAATAAATACATAGAAATAGAATAAAATAAAATTACAAGTTTAAAAAAAAAGATAAGATTTTAAAAAAATGGTCCCCGGTTTTTTTTTTTTGGGGGGGGGGTTGCAACCCCCCCAACCCCCCTCTAGATCCGCTTCTGGAAGCGCGGAAGTTATGGTGTTCAATTAAATTATTAGAGAAAGTAGACGATTCGATGAACAGTGCCCGACTCTTCATCCTTGTCCGAATTCAGTTTCTCCCCCTCCGCGCGAAGCGCGGAAGGTTTGACGTTTCATTAAATTATGAGAAAAAGCAGACGATTCGGTGTCGGCCTACTGTTCTCGACTCTTAATCCTTTTCTAGCTGAATTAAGTTTTTCCCCCTCGCGCGGAAGTTTTGACGTTTCATTAAATTATTAGAGAAAGTAGACGATTCGTTCAACCGTGTCTTAATCCTTGTCTGAATGAAGTTTTCCCCTTCCAGCGCGAAGCGCGAAAAGCTTAGACGTTTGATTTAATTATTATAGAAAGAAGACGATTCGTTGCACCGTTTTCGACTCTTATTAAGCTCTATTAATCTGAATTCAGTTTCTCCTCTTGCGCGAAGCGCGGAAGCTTTGACGTTTCCTTAAATTATTAGAGAAAGCAGACAATTCGTTGTACTGCTTTTTTACTCTTTGTCTGAATTCAGCTTCCCCCTCTTGCCCGAAGCGCGGAAGCCGAGTTTGACGTTTCATCACATTACTAGAGAAAGAAGACTATTCTTCGTTGTACCGTTTTCGACTCTTAATAAGCCCTAATTGTCTGAATTCAGTTTCCCCTTTAGCGCGAAGCGCGGAATCTTTGACGGCTCCTTAAATTATAAGAGAAAGCAGACGATTCGTTGTACCGTTTCCACTCTAAATCCTTGTCTGATTTCAATTTCTCCCTTCCAGCGCGAAAAGCTTAGACGTTTGATTTAATTATTGTAGAAAAAAGATGATTCGTTGCACCGTTTTCGACTCATATTAAGCTTTATTAATCTGAATTCAGTTTCCCCCTTCTTGCGCGAAGCGCGGAAGCTTTGACGTTTCCTTAAATTATTAGAGAAAGCAGACAATTCGTTGCACCTTTTTTTTAACTCTTAATAAGCACTCTTTGTCTGAATACAGCTTCCCCCTCTTGCGCGAAGCGCGGAAGCTTTGACGTTTCCTTAAATTATGAGAGAAAGAAGTCGATTCGTTGTACCGTTCTCGACTCGTCTAAATGAAGTTGTCCCATTTTTGCCTACCTTCAAAATATAGAGAAAGGAAGACGATTTGTTGTACTGTTCTCTAATCCTTATCTGAATTCAGTCCCCCCCCCCCTCCGCGTGTATGGCGGAAGCTTAGACGTTTCCTCAAATTATTAGAAAAAGAAGACGATTCGTTGTACCGTTCTCGACTCGTCTAAATGAAGTTGGCGTTTCAGCAAAATATAGAGAAAGGAAGACCATTCGTCGTACCGTTGTTGACTCAAAGTTAATCCTTGTTTGAATTTAGTTTCCCCGAAAATGTTAAACCTCTGATTTCTTTAGCTGATATTATAGGAAAGTGAAACTTCGAGAAAATACAAGTATTGTAGTTTTAGTCACAGCGGATAAAAAGTCACAGTTCGTAGGGAAAAAAAACTTGTCGGCCGACCGACAATATACATCTCACCTACTTCAAAATTCTGCATTGATATAATACACAAGGATCGAGCAAGAATACCGACACAGCTGACCCGACACAGGAATATATTTACCCGTCTCTTTCTTGCTTCCTTGACGAGACGACTCCACCTAACAACCTCCCCCCCCCCCCTTTCTTTTACACTCACTCCTCCTTTCTCAGGCTCTTACCTCCCCCACTCTCTCCTCTATTTCACCCCCCGTTTCTTTTGTTTCCCTTTTCTCTTTTTTTTTTCTTCTTTTTTTCCTTTTCCTTCTTTTCTTTCTTTTCCTTTCTTTCCTCGCCTCACTCTTTTTTTTTTTCTCTTTCTTTCTTCTCTTTTCTTTCTTTTCTTTTCTTTCTTTCCTTTCTTTTCCTTTCTTTCCTTTCTTTTCCTTTCTTTCTTTTCTTTTCCTTTTCTTTTTTCTTTTCTTTCCTTTTCCCTCTCTTTTTCCCTCCCCCTTTTCTCTTTTTTTCCCGACGGCAGCGCAATTTTACCGACAATATCCTGACAGGTGGGGGGGGGGGGGTGTCGCATACACCATGTGCGACAAAAAACGCTCAACCTTCTTTAAAGAAAATTCCTCAGGTTTCCTTTGATGGTACGGAAACAGCCTATACATTATTGGTTGGACTAGCACTTGAATACAGGTGCGGATCCAGGATTTCTTAGGGGAGGGGGCCCAACTTTTTTTTTTTTTTTGCTCCCGAAAATTTGAAAAACGCGCCGGCCAAAAATTCGCTCAGTGGGGGGGGGGGGGGGGGGGGGGGGGGGTGTGAGCACATTTTTTTTTTTTTTTGATCCTCAAAAAAATTTCAATTTGCACCCTCTCCCCCCCCCCCTTGAGCGCCAGGGGGGGGCCCAACCCCCAAAAAAGGTAAAAATCACGTGATTTTAAATGATTTTTTTTTCTCAAGGGGGGGGGGGGCGGGCCCCCGGCCCTCCCCCCCTGGATCCGCCACTGCTTGAATATGCCGCTACCTATTGGGACCCATACCATCAGACATCAGATGAAGTTCAACAGGATGGAATCTCGGTGTACCAAAAAAGGGCGGCTAAAACTCATTAGCAACGATCGACTCCAGGAGAACAATTGATTTAAAACTTACATCATTCCAGCAAGGACATGAAATGTCGAGGCTACCTATGCTTACAAACTACTCCTCAATCAAGTACAATTGACAGCCTCGATCACTTCTTAATGCAAGATTATTCGACAAAGAGTAGAATAAACCAGCATGAAGGTCGATCAGTACAAAGGGATTACTCCAAGGATAGACGCGTACTAATACAGTTTTTACCCAAGGACCATCCATCAAAGTATGTATGGAACGTTCTCCCCATCCACATATATTAATGCACCCACTGTAAACATGTTTCATGCACTAGCCCAGCTATGGGTCAAAAGAATATCATAAGGCAGCTGTATAATTATGAGCTCTGTGACTTCTCCTGTTGGTGCAAGCTTTGATTAGTTCAACGTCATCTAATACTTGTCACCCGCCCCCAAAGAGTAGAATAAACCAGCATGAAAGTCAGTACAAAGGGATTATTCGAAGATTGATTGATTGATTTTTATTCGAC